TTAGGAAGTTATTAAATCACTACCAAAAATACAAGCCACAAATTAGACCAACAAAATAACCGAAGAGACCACATAACTTTCGTTGTTTAATTTTATTTCAAACAATTTTAATATATTTTATTGTACAAGGTGGGCAAATTGGACATTTTTGGGAAACTCCCCTTCCTATGTCTATTCTCAGAAACAACAATATATATATATATATATATATATATATATATATATATATATATATATATATATATATATATATATATATATATATATATATATATATATATATATATATTCACGTATTGATTCACGGATGGAAAAATGTGATGACACTATATTCCGGGATATCATCCGTTCGCTTGTTGAACTCCGACTGGAATCCTGCATCCGACTGGAATCCTGCAGACGTTTCGGCAAAATCTCACTTGGCATCTTCAATGCTCGCGCTCCGAAAACACTTCGAACAACAGTGGGATGCAGGATTCCAGTCGGAGTTCAACAAGCGAACGGATGATATCCCGGAATATAGTGTCATATATATATATATATATATATATATATATATATATATATATATATATATATATATATATATATATATATATATATATATATATATATATATATATTTGAATTCAAAGGATATCGGGTAGCGGTCCGTGGTTAAAATAGAAAGCTCCTTTTTTCTTTAACACTCAATATTTCGTCAATTTATTTGTTGACTTCTTCAGGAGTGAAATAAAATTTAATGAAAACAACAGGTCAAACTATATAACAGACCCCGTTAGCGCAACTTTTGCCTACCATTATTAAGAATTGTATACTAAGTGTTTATCCGTTTGTTTCATTATGTCGCTTCGTTCATTTACCTTAACTGTAAAGTATGGTTTTTGAGGAACTATGTGGTTGACTCTAATTTTGTAAGTATTTCTCACGATTGTTTTAATTGTCTGTTATATAGTTTGACCTGTTGTTTTCATTAAATTTTAGTTCACTCCCGAAGAAGTCAACAAATAAATTGACGAAATATTGAGTGTTAAAGAAAAAAGGAGCTTTCTATTTTAACCACGGACCGCTACCCGATATCCTTTGAATTCAAATATATATATATATATATATATATATATATATATATATATATATATATATATATATATATATATATATATATATATATATATATATATATATATATATATATATATATTTGAATTCAAAGGATATCGGGTAGCGGTCCGTGGTTAAAATAGAAAGCTCCTTTTTTCTTTAACACTCAATATTTCGTCAATTTATTTGTTGACTTCTTCAGGAGTGAACTAAAATTTAATGAAAACAACAGGTCAAACTATATAACAGACCCCGTTAGCGCAACTTTTGCCTACCATTATTAAGAATTGTATACTAAGTGTTTATCCGTTTGTTTCATTATGTCGCTTCGTTCATTTACCTTAACTGTAAAGTATGGTTTTTGAGGAACTATGTGGTAGACTCTAATTTTGTAAGTATTTCTCACGATTGTTTTAATTGTCTGTTATATAGTTTGACCTGTTGTTTTCATTAAATTTTAGTTCACTCCTGAAGAAGTCAACAAATAAATTGACGAAATATTGAGTGTTAAAGAAAAAAGGAGCTTTCTATTTTAACCACGGACCGCTACCCGATATCCTTTGAATTCAAATAAGTTTAGTACGGTCGATATAAGAAACAATTCCAAGTGTTATATATATATATATATATATATATATATATATATATATATATATATATATATATATATATATATATATATATATATCGAAGACTAATCGATTCGGTTTATACGTTTTCAGTTCTCTAGTTTTCAATTGTATTCTACAGGCGATAATTCTACGAGGTAGGATCCACATAATGATACACTTTTTACATTATTTGCAAATTTTATTTTTATATTTTACGTAGCTATCACTTTTTTTGGGGTTGTCACTATCCATTTTCCATCTTGAATTCTAAAAACTTGGGTTTCTCTAAGTCCGACTTCATAAGTTTCACAGGCAATTAGTTATATTAAGCCTTTGGGTTATCAGCTTTAAGGAACATGGTAGTCGGTGCTTCAAATAGATAACGTAAGCTTCTTTATTTACAATACATTTTTGATTCATAAAGGAATATTTGTTCTCACTCAGCATAAGGTATGAGTTTAGGGGAATATTGACATAAAATTGGGATTGTTTCCAGTGATATATTTCAATGCTTCAATTAATGATACTTCAAGAATAAACATAAGTACTAATCCATTAGAATAGCTTTTAATTTCGATATTCTTTTCTAAAACTAGTTAAGTTCTCTAGAGATATTTCAAGCGAAAATTGATCCTGCTGATTTTTATTAGAATTTTTAATTTCTTCAAAGAGTTCCAACGAATTACTAATCTTGCAAAACTAATAGCGGTTCCTTTTTTTTCAAGTAAATTATACATTACATTCAATTGGTTTATGACTATATAGATTTGAGAATAGTCAAACTCGTTCGTTTGGCGTAATGCTATTTTCTTAACTGTTTCTTCAATTAGCAGCATTTTTGATTTAAGAATAATTGGGTTATGTGAGATATTCGATATTGCATTACGAAACATATTGATTGTCTTTTCTAATAATTTTATTTTGTTGATTAAATTGGTGTTTAGTTTATTTTGGTTTTCTTGTAGTTTCTTAACTTGCATTTCATATTTTTCCGCATGTTTGATCTAAATTACCAGTAATACACCAGTGGATTTAAACCATTGTATTCAACAAGCCGTCTTTATTTCTTAATTTATTCGTCAAAATTTATCAATTTGGTTCTCTATACGTTTTTCTAGGAGTGAAGTAATAGAGTTCGATTATTGATCGTTATTTTTCAGTTTTTCTATTAGCAATTTTGCTTAATTTTGATTTATAGAAAATTCAGAAATTATATTATTTAAGTGAAAGATTTGCATGAGTGAGAGATAGAAATCATTTTTACAGTTTCCAATTAATAAAGAAGTCCTGGGCCATCTGGAACAATATTCAAAATTTTAGTCTCATTAACGTTAATTGTTTCTTTCTTTTTTGTTATCTGATTTTGGATCTCAATCTTGTTATTTTCTAGACTTTTTGTTAAAATGAACGGTCCTGAGAATTTTTTATTTAATGTACATGCCCGATTGTTATATACTGTTGCACCGACTTGAGGTTCTATATTTTTTTCTTTTCATTATTTTTATCAATAATTTTTTGTTCCTTAATTAGAGAGTTGTCATGGATTTTATTATACAGCAGTTTTGTATTTGTTTGGTGAGAATTAAAATATTGAGAATAGACTTGAGAGGTAAAGGCTCTCTTGTACCAGTGTGTCCCAGTATAAGTTCACAGGGTGCATAATTTGTAAACTCTGTTCATAGATATAAGAAAGTGACTAACTGATACGAATTAAGGAAAGACCCGGGCAAGGTATAAGAATGAAATATAGCCGAACAGGGGTTTTGTTAGGAAAGATACTAAACAATATTTATTTATTTATGTATGTATTTATGTTTAAATCTCAAATAATATTACAAATTATTTTTATACCTACTTAAATTACTTAAAATTATTCACATAATATATCAGTATCACTATCGCCATCATCGCCTGTTCTAATTATTATTTGTTCTATACCATTTGCAATATGGGTATACGATTGTTCTGCTTATTCTATATGTTTAACAGAATTTGCCCAACTTTGTAGACGGATGTTAAAAACTTCGGTTTCTATAAGTTTGAGGACATTGGAGTTAACACGGGGAAACCCTTGTTACAACGAATGGCAGATTTCAGTTGGTGCCAAACATGTTCAATGGGATTAAATATACAGTGGTAAGGTGGAAGCCTTAAATTAATTGCTTTTTGGTATAATCTTCGTGAAAATAAATGTCGTTATTATACATGTAGTTTTGGATTGTTGCTTTTGTGTCACACGAAGAAGGTGTTTTAGTGTAAGGGTCGAACCAGGTTTCATCCAAGTAAATAATTGGCGTTTGTTGTTCTTTGTAAATCCTAATTTTTTCTAGATATTCCAGTCGCCATTTCCGAATTCTAAAAGATTCCATTAAAAATTGCCTTTTGACAATTTTTTTAAATCTAAAACCCATGTGTCGAATACACTTCCATAAGGTAATTCTGCCACATTTAACACCGGTTTCATCTTTTTCAAGCCTCCTAATTAAGATATCTAATGTAGGCACGCTTTGTTCCTCGTATATCACTTTCATCTACACTCGAGAAAATGTCAGCATCGCTTCTTTTTTTCCTCGCTGAAATGGGATTATTCACAATTTTCAATACAGTTGATGTTGGAATTTTCGTCAATGAGGCCGTTGCTTCTAAAGATGCTTGCTTGCTGGCACCACGTTCAATAAGAGTCAAATAAACATTGTTTATAACTTCGTTAGTCTCAATAGAATAGTGTTTTTTACATTTGGGCGGGAGCATCTCCTGACATACACTAGACTCGCACATATTTTGCATAATTCGCACACGATTCAACACACGTTGTATTACACACGAAATAAGAATGATTACTAATAAATTTAAACCAAACCATCCAAAGAATACTAAACACAAGTAGGTATAAAATTATTTTCTATTACGGACCACAATTTTACCTGAATTTAAATTTCGAAACGTTAGGTAATAATCTTGTTGCATTGTATGTTAATGACCACCCTTGGATAATCCCATTCAATAGCAATTGGTCACTTATATCTATGAACAGAACATACTGCATACCACAGGGGGTTGCACAGTTCCATGATACCGGCCATAAAGTCACATTATTACTTTTAGATTTGTTTTTCGCTAGCAACTATTATTAAGTTTTCAAGAATCTTCTACCATAACACGCAGAGAAGCTTTAAATAGGAACGCTAACTATATTTTTTACCCAGCTCAATAGAGCAGTAAAACAGAAAATGTACTTTTAAGAACTTATTTTATTAAAACAAAATGTATATAAAACATCTTGGAATAATTGTATGTATTATGTATTAAGCTACAAAAACAACGTAATAAAACAAAAATTGCGGATGATGAGACAACCTTGGAGTGGAATGCAAAATTACAACTATTTTACACTCTTACACGTCAAATTCTTTTTAAATGGCAACGCTTTCTCACTTACAGATCACTAGTTACATTTTCATTTTAAAGTAAGTCCATTGAAAAGAAACAAGAATATGCGAATCGTTTTATTTTACTCTCAAATAGTGATGTATCTTTATATCTTTGTTTCTAATACGTATACAAGTTTTGAAGCGCCTAAACGACTTAAGATTACATTGTTTATCAGTTGAGCATTTTCAGTAGATCGGAAAAATTGATCGACTATTCGGTTTGGCAAGCAAAGTTCTATTTGATCTTCACCTACGTACCAGGCTTTCAACCTCGAGAGGTAACTTAACTGAATTTGTTTAGCGCCGGAACTCCAACTTGTTGTCAATTTTGTCCATTAATTTAGCATGCTTCTTTGTCATAAAAATATTTACTGGAATGTGGCAAAGCATACTTAAGCTTGCTCCAAAAGTAACGATCGCCCCACTTAACATAAGTATTCGTTTTCAGATAACATTTCATTTCGTCGTCGAGTTTACTTTCATCCAAATCACCGCAGATGACGACGATCACTCTGGCTCTACCTTCGGAAATCGCTTCCGTGTGGGCCATTCTAAACTCCATCCTACCCCACACGCTGTCCAAAAAGTTATTCGATAGTACCACTAAAGTCCTACGCGAGTTTTTCACTGTACTGACCACTTGGGTACTAATGAGCTCACCAGGAATAAAGTCTCTATAGTGAATGCACACTTTGAAGCGATGATCGCCATGTTCAAGTTCGGGTAGCAAGTGTTCCACAACAAACTTCTCGTCTTGATGTGCGTAACTTATGAAAACATCGTATGTTTTGTCTTTATCGAGTTCTTCCTCGGTAACAAACCACAAGCACAGGTTCTTAGCGTAGAGGTAGACCTTTATTTCTTTTTGATAACGGTAGTAAAGGGCGATCGCTACCGCAAAGAAAAAAAGTATGGCGGGGATCAGTGACAGGGCAACTGTGAGATACAGCGGATTCGGACAGAGGTCCACTATGTTGAGTTTTACTAGATATGCTGCACTGGCGTAGCATTGCACGTCAGTCCTATTGACCTGGAAATAAAAAACGTTATTAAAGCGAGAGCGAAAGGTGCATGTCATAAATCAACATAGATACATAAAGTTCAAATCTCACGAATCTCTTGAAGCTACAAAAAATGTAATACAAATTGATATACTTGAGATTTATGATTTGTGGATCTCAAAAATCTCTCACAAAAAAGTAAATAAAGTTGTCAATATACACTAGTCAGCATAATCAACGCACCACTAGTATATTTCCAAAAATATTTTTTATCTCATAATACTCATCAAATATTTTCATGTCTTAATTAATAAGATCGTTATTCTAACTTAATAAGGATATTAACAATACTTAAAATTCCAAAAGAAGATGCATTTCCTCCTCTATTTTGAATAACAGCACGTCAGCGATTATTTATGCTCAAAAGTACGGGCTTTATTTCGTTTTGAACCAAATTTCCCATATTTGGACAATATCTGCAGTAAGTAAAGTAATAGGCGGGTTAGGAAGTTCTTATTCCAAACATTCTCATTCTCTTAAGATCAGGACTGGTTGATTTTTCCCCAAAACATAACTGACCTTTCACTGGTGTTTTGAAAGTTGCATTGGGTTTTATCTTTCATTTGGTTGATAGTGTATTTTCAATAATATTTATAGATATGCATTAGTAATATTGAAGGACTTGTCACTATTATAAATTATTGCAAACTGAAAAGGACTAATATTTCTTGCTTGCATTTATTATTTATATTTATTTCAAATAATCATTCGTATATGTTAAACTTAACTAGGGTGTGCTTGGGTGATTGATTGAAGTGGTTTTTGTTCTAATCAGAACCAAACAAGAAATACGATCGACCCAAACAAAAAACAAGCTTTAATCGCAATCACGGCTGCTACAGTCAAATGATTTTTGATAAACAATTTTAAATAGGAGCACGATAATTACCTTGTCAAAATGAGCCATAAGATAGTTTTGCAAATTTGCGGCATAGCAGTCACAGTACCAAGGATTACTGTTGAGTGTCATTCGTCGCAGCGATGCGGTCTTATTTAAGAGCTTGATGAAGTTTTCATTCAGGCCAGTCAAATTATTTCCACTCAAACGAAGTTCCTAAAAGTGAATTACAAACAAAATGATCTCACGTTAGAAATTTAAAAAATAAATGTACAATTACCGTGGTCATTTATACTTGCCTTAATGCGAGGTGGGATCCAAGTCATTTCATTGATATGATTGCGGGATAAGTCCAAGACGGTGACGTTGTGGTAAGATGAGTTGGTAGTGGGCCCTTGTGAGAAATGGTTTCCGTTCAAATATAAAACTGTCTGAATGTACGTGATGCCGGTAATATTCAATGTTGGATATGTCGATAAGTTCCGATAAGAGCAATCGACGATGATGCTTAAATCATAGGGCCTATAATCGCAGGAACAAGGACCAGGACAGTTAATCAATCCTTCCAGGGAGCACGTGATATGCCGAGGTCTGAGATCCCTTGCTAAAATAGGAGACTCGAAATTCGAGCAGTATAACCGATCCTGTTTAATGTCGACCAGTGCTCGTACTTCGGGATCGTACATGTCGTTGTTATATTTGACCAGATTGTAGTTGGTACAATCGCAAGGGATAACGTTGTCACTCAGGATTAGTATGGTTTGACTCGCATGATACGGTTCATACAGGGATCCGTTATAATTCGCCCTGGCTATTACCTCTATGAAGGAGAAGTCGACTTCAGTTATGTTATTATGGGAAACATCCACTATCATTTCAAAGGATGATGCTTTAATAAACATTGGAACCTACAAGAATAAATTGATTTTATAGTATTTATCATCAAGCGCATAAGAAAAAAATGCATGTTGGATACGGTATAGGAAAGGCACTTGAAAATGGCATTTTTGGTAATTTAATAAGTTTAATTTAATTAACTCAAGTCTCAGGACGAGTCAATCCAAAATCGACTTGCCGGAGAATTTGATTTTAGCTAGCTTTTTTGGTTAGTTATAGGTTGATTATGATTTGGTGATAATGGTAAGACAGATTTAGCTAACAGTTTCGTATCTCCCCAACGTGGTGATTGTTTGCATTTTGCAGATTATCGAGTGTATATTTTTCAATTATAAATCATCAGCTAAAACTGACCAATGAATTAATGGATACTAATAAGGTACATTTAATCTAATTTATGTATTGGTTATATACAAAACAATTACTATAGATAGACAAAATTCATTGCCTAAAATTGATAACGCCCACCCAAACATCGTTGATGACTGTTTGTAATGGAGGTACACTGTGTTAAAACGATTGGAGTAATAGAATAAAATGCAGACAATGCAGCATACAACACCTGGAATACGTATATGAAAAAGCAAAATTTTATCAGACAGTTCTGTATAATAGGCACATAAAAAATCCAAAATTTATGCTTGTTTTCTTGTAAAAATAAAACATCGATCCCATTAGTTTATTATAATTAATAGCCTAAGAACCAATTAATAATAAATTAATTTATTTATTTAATAATAATAAATAAATTGTTTAAAAAAATGTTTTTGGGCCACTATTTTACTCTTTTCACATATCCCTGCATAAAAAATGAGAATTTTGGAACTTACCCGGACATTAGAAATATCATTATAACTGACGTTGAACTTTTTTATATTGACCATTAAGTCAAAAAAATTTTCGGGTATGGTCTCGACTTTATTATGGTGCAACAACACCTCCTCGATTTTGACGCAGAATCCCAAAGCAGTAACGCCCGTGATCCTATCAGGAACCATGTCCCATCTATTATGAGACAAATCAAGGTGTCGGAGCTCCAACAGATCGCGGAAACTCGTCGTCTCTATTCTGGCGATTTTATTTCTGCTTAAGATTAGTTTCTGCAAATTCTCCAGACCTAAGAACACATCAGCCCCCAACACCGTCAGCTCGTTCTTCTCAAGATGTAGTTCTTTTAATTTACGCAGATTATAAAACGCTTCATCTGGAATCGAGGTCAATCGATTTTGAGACAAATCCAGCTTCATTAAGGAGTCTAGACCATCAAAGAGAGTTTTCGGAATAGTCGTTAGAGAATTATTCGACAGTTGTATTTCTGATAAATTCACTGATCCGGTAAATGTGTGATCGGGAATGCTTTGCAAGCCACAGCTGTCCATTCTGACAACTTTAAGTTTGCTTAAATTTGCAAAAATGTAATCGGGTAGAAATATCGGATTAAACGCAATCTTAATTTGCTGAAGCAGAGCGTTGTTTTTGAATGTGTTAGAATGGAGAAACTTTATGCGATTATTTAGCAGACTGAGAATGGTTATGTCTAAAAGTTCCGAGAATGTATCCGGCTCTACCGTTTCGATAAGATTGCTGCTCAGCTCAAGCAACTTCACACCGGTTAATCCGCGGAACATGTCTTTTCTTAAGACAGACAGGTTATTGTTCCATAAATACAAATTCGTCAATTCGCCGAGGCCTTCAAATCCGCCATCAAACAACGAAGTTATTTCATTGCCAGACGCATCGAGAGATTTAAGTTTTGGCACGTATTTAAAATCAATATTTAAATCTTTGAGTTTGTTCTTATATAAATTCAACCCTACTAAATTGGGGACATACTTCAAAAAATCTTTACTCAAAATCAGCGAGTTGTGTTTGATTTTTAATCTTTCCAGACTATCCAGTCCTTCTAGATAATCACTCGTAACCTTCAAGCTGTTGTCCGCGGATGTTTCTATGCTAAGCTGTCGAAGGTGCACCATGTTAAACTTCCTCCTGGCTGTTTTTATGACCGCACTTATATTGGGGCAGTATTTTATGGTAATACTTGGAACGTCGTGACCGTCAAATGTAGGAAAAATGGATTCGTTAAAAATTCCTCTATTCTCTCTCGTCTCGCAAAACATATCTACGGTCCTTCCTGGAGTCCACTGTATATTTATTTCGTAATGTACATCTGGACATTGGAATTCGTATACGCCTCCGATGGCAGAGTAACAACTGCACGTGTCTGTTTTTATACATCCTGATGGCGATTGGACACTAATGCCAACTAGTGATGCAATGGATATTAATGCTAAGCCATTTAACAACTTCATCTTCCTATCTGGAACAAAAACCAAATGAAAGCCGAGCAACTTTATCTTTCTTTTGTGGTAATAAAAAACTACTAATTTACGACTGTCTTAATTCATAAGGCGACATTCGATAATGCGAGTCTACATCGCTATATTTGTAAACTATTTCGCTGATACTATAAGGTCAAGGTTATGTTAATGTAGGGAAAATCTCATATAAAAGCTGTTGTTGTGTACCCGTTGCTCCACTTCGATTGCAATGTTGAAAAGATATTTCAAGTGCGAAAAAAAAATTGAAGAAGAAATAAAAACACTTTTTTTACGATGTCTAATAAAAGAAAACATTTTAACAGTAACACCATCTAGTAAAAATAACAAGATAAGAAAAATTTTTATTTTCATATCAATCTTCCATATTTAAGGCAACAGTTTTTATTAATCTAACCACATAGTCTTTACAAAAAACCTTTCGAACACTAAATACACATACACAATACACATTCTGAAAGAGGATACTTAAAATCCAACTTTGCGTTGATTATAGAATTATTAAGTGAATACGTTGTACTATATTAGTCGACAATGACTTTTTTATGTTTGGTCAAAGGCTATTCAGCTGGGTTTCACAATGTAATCTCCAAATGTTTCGTTTTTGGGTTTAACATCTCAGTGTAACAGCATATTGGTTAGTTTGTCTTGTCTACTATCATTGGTTTTTTTTCGAAGTATCGTCAGAAATACCCAATATTATTAGAAAATGAACAAAAAGTCGCACTAAATTTGGACAATTTAGACAAAATTTAGAAGTACGTACATAATGTACAGGAAGAGCCAAATTGGACACTTTTAAAGCAGATAGAGGAAAACTAATGCAGGTGTCTGGAGCTCGATTTTCAGAACAACAATAAAGATAAAGGATAGTGCCATCGTAATACAAAAATACTTGGTTGTAAAGACGCCTTGGTCTTAGTTTAAGCTTGCATCATTCCACTTTTCATACACACAGGCCAGACCTTACTGTGCGGCATGTATGTTGTTTTTCTCTAATGTTAATTCTGCTTAGTCTTGTTCGTATTTTTAATTTTAATTTGATGTTGCACGTTTAACGCCTCCTTAAACCACCATTTATTATCATCCCCAAGGTGTTCATGTATAGCTTTTGTACCACTTGGGTCCGGTCGCTTCATGCCATGTTGTTTTCTTTTTCTTTCAAATTATTTCCTGTCTCTGCTGCTGTATTACCTCGTGTTTCCGGTATTAAAGCCACATCGACCAAAATTCTAGACCAATATATCAAGTATATGGAAAGGTAATTTCAAATACTTTTTCAATTATTTAAAAATACAGAATTATATTATTATATACGAATCAACTATATAAAAATAAAAAAATATATTATATCGATACAAGTAAATTTTGCGTAAAAAGTTGCTTTGGAAATGTTTTCATGACAACTCAAAATTTTCCATAACAAAAAAACTTACTGCGATTTTCTTAAAATGCACATTTTCTAAAACCACTCTATAACTCTGAAACAATACTAGATACCTATGAGCGATTTTTACCTAAAAAGTTGATCTACCCTGTAAATATTTTTAAAATTCGTATTCATGAAACGAAGATCATTAAATCGTCGATTAAAATCTAGTTCTAGTTATTCTATACCTATCTATCTAATCTATTTTCTGGTTTTGAAATTATTGTAATTTTTTGAAAATTCAGTTGCAACTTTTGTTGTTATTTTTAATTATAGTATCGTCTCATGTTCTATGACGGACACCCTTTATATCTCGATATTTACCTTCCATTCAACTGATAGAACCGTTATCTTTATAACGTCGGTAAAACGACGTATTTATCAAACGCCATTATCAGTTTACCGAGGGTAAAGACGACAGAAACCGGAAGGATATAATTATCACCTATACAGAACGGATATACCAAGAGTGACCGGTAGATAATAAAGACAGGCTGTTAGGCCCGATTTTAATATTTCGGGTAATCAATACTCGAACGGGACAGACTGATGATTAAATTTAGAATGTTTTGAAGAATAAAAGGATCCCAAGTTATAGATCAGTACAGTCATTTTTGTCTGTTTGAAACCTTACTTGACCAATAAAGCAAATTATGAAAACAAGTACTTAAAAAATATGATTTACCAAGAATGTATTTGCTACCTTTTATCGTGCTTAATTAATCACAGTTTTTTCAAACGGATCCCTATGCTTTCGAAGTTTCAAAATTGCAGACCTATCTTGCTCCAAACCCACCTTGAAGCTGGATTTAGTAAAAGGCTTGCCGTCTATCTTGAAAATAATACATTCATAATGGACAGAATAGATTTGGAGCCAAAACATCAAATAGCATTAGACAAAGTTGTCTTTCATATTCATCAAGCGCATTAATATGATATGATAGAAAAGCCAAGATTTTTTCTCCAAGTCACTGCAATATCACGAATACGATTAAATTCTCTTATTCTCAGTGTGAAAACAAGGATGGTGAATGGCAGATCGCTTGTGATAGCGTCGTAACAAAAACATTCGCAAGAGGCTAATGAGTTAGTCTAGTATGCTTGGTAACATCAACTTAAAAAATATATTTAGTACTGGCTGTATTTTTTTATATTTCGCCACATTTATGTTTTGATTTAACTTGTGAATATCTTATTTAGTGTTGTTCTCTGTCATAAAAAGATTTACAAAGAATAGTATGTTTTTATTGCATGATTTTCTAATAATCTATCCTAAAATAATCATCATAGGTAACGACAACATGGAGCACCGGATTCATCAGAAAAAAATGAGTAAACATATTGGCGAAAAAATCGATTTCTTAAAAATCTTCCCTGGATTTTGCTTTGAAGCCTGATAAGAATTATTGCTACTCATAAATATATTCATAGCACAGATAAAATTGATTTATTTAACCAGCGGCGTTCGTGAAACTGTTTTAGTGAACTTCAATAACAAAAGCGACACATCAATGGTATATCGCAATATTGTTATTTATTTTTTTTTTGCTAAAACCGACATTTTCGCATTTGCAATTACACCTAATTGGCGGACATACCACTTTCTTATAAATTAATATTTATCAAAAAAATTATTTTAATTGGCAAAAATTTTATACCAAGTTTAAAAGCAAAACTACGAAATGAAGCATTTTAGAGTTTAGGTTACTTACTTTTATCTGCCGAATACGCTGTTAAAGGTGTTGCATTATAATTCAGACCACCCTGAATTATGTAATAAGTTTTATAAACACACTTTAGAAATCGGATGTCCGATCAGCTTCAACGAGCGATTTTTAAAAAGATATTAAAAAATCATCTTTGGACCTGTCACAACTCGTACTAGATCTCATTTCATAATGCTATTGTACTTATTTTATGTTCCTCTCAAACTTTTTGCCTTGTACTTTCCTTAAATAATTAATATTTTTTAGTGGTATTAACGGTTTTCTTTGCATTGGGAGGTTTTATAAGAAGTTGGAAATCGCCATTCATTATATAATATTTACAGAATTTAACAAAAAAAATGCATTTTTGTTAACTCTTTTAATTATTTATGTCCTGAAGAAGTCTATAAAACAAATCAGACAGAATAAATGAATTCGCAAATTAATTTACATATGCGGAAACTTCAGACCTAACAAAAGTCAAAATACCATAGGACTAAAAAACGGAAAATCTCGAATTGGCTCCCACCAGCGTTTAATCAAGCTGACGTTTTAAACTGATACCTTGCGCACCCCTTGAAAGTGTACAGTAGGGAGTACAAAAAATTATCTACATCACTAATAGTATCAAAAACTTACCTTTAAAAATGATTCCTGACCGCTCACTTTAAAATTATAAAAATAGTACAAATTTAGTACAGATTTGACGATACACTTTTGGAAATACTCATTCACTAATTTCACAAAACGGTATGAAAGGGTATATTGAAATCGGTAATATTTTATAGTATTTCAAGGGGATGGATTTTAATGGCCATTTAATAATAGCCAACCCCACTCCCAGCCCAAACTTTCCAGATCCGCTTTTAATTTATTCATGGACATTATTTATCTATTTCGTCTGCAACATCTACCCTCTAAACAGTTTAAGAATATATTGCAATAATTCAATTTTTTTAAATAAATTTCAAACCAAATATCTTATAAAGCAGTCGAGATTATTTAATGCGGTCTACAGAATGTTTTTTAAAACTTCCTGGACCGTTTGAGACCTTAATATAAATTTTTCATTTTAATTAAAAGCGGCATATACAGAGCGCGAACTGAACTCCTTGGAAAATCTAAATTTTAAAAAAGATAAACAAAATTAATAGTATAATGTGCAACAAGTTTGATAAACGCGATTTTAATGACTAGTGATTTGACGCGCAGCGGATCGAGTGTATCTGTGATAATTTTCAACTAATTAAAATAATCAATCAATATAAAAAATCACCTCTAAGTGTGTGTTTGAGTTTACCAATGGCTGTTCTAAATAATGAGACATTTAGGAATACTATTTTCTAAACATTAAGACAGAAAACAACATAGACTGGATTATCCGGACCTAATTTTTTTAAACCATTTTCTACTTTTGCGTTAACGTTTACGTTAAAAATGAAATTTAAATGTAATTGGTTTAGTTGGAATAGGGTTTATTTGAGATCACATTCAACGACTTGATTTTTGCTCTTAAAAATTACACCATTGTAAAATAATCAATCCAGAATTGTCACTAACTATTATTCCACAAATGTACAATATATGGGAAACTAAGTATTGCTAGTTTCCAATCTCATTACTTTTTTCTTCAGATAGAATAGCGTATTAATATAAAAAGAATCTTACTACAGTGCTGGTGATTTCGGTTACTGTCATCTCAAAAAAATTAAAAGAATACTCTCCTACTTTTAAGGATACTTCGGGTAAAATGACTTTTAATGAACTTAGAGAAATGCTCGACTATCAAATCATTTCGATATTACACCAAAACAGCGAACTCAGTTTTAGCTCCACATTTTGTTTTTCCTTTAAATTCTCACACCGATCTAATTTTCTTCATCATTCTATGGGTAAAACTTTAATTTCCATCCTGTATCATTTATAGGAGTAATAAATCTAATCATTTCGGATCGAGATTCACATGAAATATCAGGTACGTTTCGGGCCAGATTGGCGACGCCCTTCAAAATTTTCCTAATGAGCGGAAGTTCCCGTATTATTACAGGTACTTACGGTCAAGGGTATATAATAATATTATTAGATACAATTGTGGATTTGTTTCATCAGCCTTCTAAATTGGAAGTACAAATTTGCTCTGAAAACAGAGTAGATGCCTAATTAAAACAAAATCTATAAAACTAAGCCTGTGGAAGTTTCTTTGAATAAAAAATCTATGGACTATGCAAATAAGAGTATATTACGTATAATCCTTATATCTAAAATTAGGGGAAAATAAAAAATATATATAAATATATGCAAGTCGTTTTTCAGATATCAATTTTACATTGTAGACATATCCGGAAGTACTCTATGAAAATAAACCATATAGCAACTTCTTGCTGAATTTAGCTTTAGATTTTCTAAAATGATCAAAGTAAAGTTTCTAAACATTTACTCGAAAATACAAAAATATAGATTGTATTAATAGAATTTCCAAAACACTTTCGTTAGTTAAAATTGAATTCTAACTATTAACTGAATCAACTATCATACAAATTGGTATAAAATAATATAGAATTTTTATATTATACAATTTGGTTTCCGGTGGACGCTAAAAAACGGCAGATTTCCAAAATAATTTAAATACTTTTGACCAATTTTGGTTAGTATAGTTTCTGCTGCAGTGAATTTAATATATTTTTTAATAAACTATTCCATAATTCCGTTAGTACTGTATGGAACAACGCGTAAAAAAAACACACAATGATAAACGCTTAAAAACGCAAACATATAAACAAAGAGTCTTGTAATACAATAAACAATAATATTTAAAATGTGAAAAAAGAAAATACTGCCGATAAGAATCAAATAGATCCGGGAAGAATAAAAGGATCCCAAGTTATAGATCAGTACAGCCATTTTTGTGTTTGAAACCTTACTGGACCAATAAAGCAAATTATGACAACAAGTACGTACAAAAAGATGATTTACGAAGAATATATTTGCTACCTTTTATCGTGCTTATTTAATCACGGTTTTTTCAACGGATCCCTATGCTTTCAAAGTTTCAAAATTACAGACCCATCTTCCTCCAAACGCACCTTGTAGCTGGATTTAGTAAAAGGCTTGCGGCTTTCGTTTAAGCGTGAATGAGTGAATCATACCAATCAACTTCTCAAATCAGGAATACGGCTATTGGAGCTGTCGTATCGCCTAATCGATTGCCTATATGAAGCAACTAGGCTTGACGAAGGGCCGCAGTATATTCTCTCAAGAGGGGCCTGTTGATCCCTAAGCGTGTGTCCTTAAGTTACAGATATAAAAAGCAGAACCGCGTTTTTTAATCAATTCATGACAAAATTTTGAACAAATATTTTAAGAAAAATATAATGTAAATGATTGTCTAGAATAAGACGGTGGTTTTGGGCAATTCAGTTTTGTGAAATGAATTTATTTATCCAATCCACAATGAAATGTAAAACAACATCACATCTTCAAAAATATTATTCACAAAGATATGTATAGTTTCAACTATTTTGATATTATGTCATTATAAAAACAAAATTATTGATTTATTAAATATGTTTGTTTAAAGGATAACATAAAGGGTGGAAGGGATAGGCTTTTTATATTGTTCACTTCATAAATTCGTACACAAGATGGATGTCTTATTTTTCAATTTAATTTTAATTGCGAAAACGCAAAATTTATTTTGTTTATAACGCTTCATTTACCTATTCATCCAGCCTGACGTTTTATAATACAAATTATAATAAATAAGCCCAACAACCCACAGCATAAGAAATAGGCATGACGACGAATTATAGTATCGTCTCATGTTCTATGACGGACACCGTTTATATCTCGACATTTACCTTCCATTCAACTGATAGAACCGTTATCTTTATAACGTGGGTAAAACGACGTATTTATCAAACGCCATTATCAGTTTACCGAGGGTAAAGACGCCAGAAACCGGAAGGATATCATTATCACCTATACAAAACGGATATACCTAGAGTGAGCGGTAGATAATAAAGACAGGCTGTAAGCCCCGATTTTAATATTTGGAGTAATCAACACTCGAACGGGACAGACTTTGATGATTAAATTTAGAATGTAAATGCAAAGACACCTATCCCAAACAGTGGCCAATGGACAGTCAGATATTGTAGGCCGTAGCCGATTAAAACATTTTTATATACATATTATGCTTTCAAAATTCCAAATAAGGGGAAAATATAAATATTTTTATACCGGCTATAAGTTGAAGACATATTTAATACTAAAATTGGAAATAGATAATTTGGAACCAACTGCGGACACTCGTTCTTGTTATGTAAAGAAATTATTTGGTATAAAATTAAACTCACAAAAAATATTAATCAAAATGCATAATCAGATTTTGCGAGTTACAAAATATTCAAATATTCCATTTAGGATATCGGATAGGAATTTGTCAATTTATAAGAGGGTGCATACTTAGAGATAGCAGAGAAACATCTGTTGGAGTGGGCGCGCAGGCTGAATAAAATTGAAGTGTCACACGAACGTCTTGAAGTCTAATTTTTGAAGGTTTTCAATATTGGTTGGGTTGGGTAGGAAGACCAAAAATAATTGGACTGTAAAATCGTGCCAGATATATAAATGGGGAAAATTTCCAAGCAGCTGGCTCAGAGTCCTGGATAACACCAATACATAAGCAAGAACCAAGGGACAATTGTGGTAACTACAGATGTAGATCCGTGGTAAACGGCATTTGAGTCAAGAGTTTATTTGGAACGAGCGGAGCGAGTGATTTATAAAAGAGTGACTTACAAATTTTACTAAACCTGTTGCATACTATAGTTTTTCTACGACCGTTGTTAGTTTTTGAGTACGTTTTTGCAAAAACAACACCAATAAATTCAATGACATGACCGTTAGAATTGACCGTTGAATGACGTTAGAATATAAATAAAAAGTAAAAAACAAATCCAGACAACAGTAAACTCTATTTATCCGAAATCTAACACAGAACACGAGCAATTTAAAACAATTACATACATAGGAGAAGCTAGTGAAAAAGTTTCAAAACATTTGTCAAAATGTGGTTTAAAAATAGCTTTAAGATCTCACAACACAATAGGAAAATTTTTAAAAAACAATAAAACGAAATGTCCAAAATCTCAAAAATCAGATGTCTAAGGGTTGAAATGCGGATCCGTCCTAAAATTTATATTCAACAAACAGGTAGATCCTCCAAGAAACGCATTAACGAACATAAAAGACCGTTTAAAAACAATAGTCTAGATTTCAATTATGCTGCACACTTAAACACGGAAAAACACATTTTTGACGACAATTTTGATATTTTACATACAGCCACAAAAAGTTGAAAATTAAATTTATTGGAAGGCATGGAGATTAACAAAATGAGACATTCAAATGTATTGCTTAACGATCAATTAGATTTAAATATCTCCTCTCCTTTATTGAACTTAAATTCCCACAACAACATTAATTAAAGTTTTATGGTCATTTTTCGGTATATAGGCAGGTAATTTGTAAATATAACATTTGATAAAGACACGGTGTTATCGAAACAATTGTCATGTAAAAATAGATAATTTGGTGAAAATCTGAACCTTCGGTTTTTATTTATTTTCAATTTGAGGGAAACTATCTCATTCGCTTTTATTCCTTCGGACTTGTACAGGCAATTTTAATGTATGAAACAGCTCAGCTCAGGTTATGCCTAGTGAAATAAAAACAAATAATCGCATGATTAAAATATCAAATTGACATTAACATTGACATATTAACATTAATATCGTTTTAAATTCTTTCACGTCTGCTCCTCTCGCTTGTGAGCCACAGTGGCTTATTGAAAATATAGCAAATGTAAGGAAATTCCTTAGTCAAAAATGCTACTACTGACTGCAAGATTTTTTATTAGATATTTAAGAAATAATTTATGCTTCATTAATGTTTTTACATTATTTGTTTTGTGGTGTATACATTTATATTTTGATTGTAACATTGATTTTTTTTCTGTTGACGTGATCAGGAATATAGAACATATCGGTGTATTTGTACCATTTGAAGAAGCGAAAATAAATTCTATTCTACTGAGGAATAAGCGGAAGTGATTTTCCTACAAATGCAAAGACCCATCGAATTTCATAAAAAAAATCTAGGTCCAAGAAATAACTACTAATAGTAATATCCTATCCATAAAGCTTTATTTGACTATAATACAAATGTGTAATTTTTTAAGATTCCATTAGCAACACACAGATAATTTTTGAATAGGAATTATTACGATATCTTTTAACTCGCCTTCGTAGAAGAGTAAAAATAAAAAACACTTTTAAAAACTTATTTTATTTACAAAAATATATGTACATAACACACGGATATCTTGAAATAATAACAAACACATTGCATATATACTATAAAGCTCGAAAATCAACATAACAAAACAAAAATGCGGATGCGGATCGTTAGAGCACCTTTCCAGTTGAATGCAAAACTACAACTATTTTTGCGTAGTCTCTTACACGCCAAGCTGTTTGGCACTTACATATCACCAGTTACATTTTAGGGTAGGTGGGTCTATTGCCGAAAAACAAGAAATTGCGCGCAATCTACTAGGGTTTTGTGGTCGAATACTAATAAAGTCTAATAATATGAAATATAACAGCGGCTGATGGAACTTAATACGTTTTGCTTAGTGTACTTAATATCAACATTGTTCACGTTGGACCCACTCATGCGAAAATGCAAAGCTTGCGTTCTAAATGGAAAGTATATCTTTGTTTCTAACACTTATAAAAATTTCTATACAAAAGACTATGTCGTAACATTTATACTTTGTGCTGTCATCTTTGTACTCCATGACTAAACGCGATATGGACTTAAGACTAAAATGTTTATCAGTTGAGCATTTTCAGTAGATCGGAAAGATTGTTCGACTAGGCTGTCCTATGGTGGTTTGGCACCAAAACAAATCACAGTTCGCAAAGCTTTGTTATATATTCACCTACGTAACAACGGATCCTCTCCCTCAAGAGGTAAGTTAACTTCCTTACTTTTTAACAAACCTGCATCTAGAGTCACAGGGGGCGTACTCGTTTGATTGGGCGAAGGAGAACTCATCAACTCGAATTTGTCGTCAATTTTCAGCATCACTTTAGCGTGCTTTTTATTTTTGTCGTAAAAATGCTTATTAGAATGCGGCAAAGCGTACTTAAGCTTGTTCCAAAAATACCGGTCGCCCCACTTAACATACGTATTCGTTTTTAGATAACACGTCATCTCGTCGTCGAGTTTACTTTCGTCCAAATCACCAAAAATGACGACGATCACTCTGGCTCTACCTTCGGAAATCGCTTCCGTATGCGCAGTTCTAAACTCCATCTTACCCCACACACTGTCCAAGAAATTATTCGACAGTACCACCAAAGTCCTACGCGAATCTTTCACGGCACTGACCACTTGGGTACTAATGAACTCACCAGGAATAAAGTCCCTATAGTGAATGCACACTTTGAAGCTATGGTCGCCATGTTCAAGTTCGGGTAGCAAGTGTTCCACGACAAACTTTTCGTCTTGATGTGCGTAGCTGATGAAAACATCGTATGTCTTGTCTTTATCGAGTTCTTCCTCGGTAACAAACCACAAGCACAGGTTCTTAGCGTAAAGATAGATCTTTATTTCTTTTTGATAACGGTAGTAAAGGGCGATCGCCACCGCAAAGAAAAGAAGTATGGCGAGGATCAGTGGCAGGGCAACTGTGAGATACAGCGGATTCGGACAGAGGTCCACTATGTTGAGTTTCACCAGATATGCTGCACTGGCGTAGCATTGCACGTCAGTCCTATTGACCTGGAAATAAATAACGTTATTAGAGCGAGAGCGAAAGGTGCATGTCACAAATCAACATACATACATAAAGTTCAAATCTCACGAATCTCTTGAAGCTACAAAAAATGTAATACAAATTGATGTACTTGAACTTTATGTTTTGTTGATGACAAAAATCTCTCACAACTTTTTGTTTTTCCGGCATTTTTTTTTTTTGCAAAAAAGTAAATAAACTTGTCAATATTCACTGGTTAGCAAAGTTAATGCATCACTAGTATATTTCTAAAAATATTTTTTATTTCATAATATTCAATCAAATATTTTCATGTCTTAATTAATAAAATTTTTATTCTAACTTAATAAGGATATTAACAAAACCTAAAATTCGAAAAGAAGATGCATTTCCTCCTCTATATCGAATAACAGCACGGCAGCGATTATTCATGCTCAAAAGTACGGAATTTATCTCGTTTTGATCCAAATTTCCCATATTTGGACAATATCTCCAGTAAGTAAAGTAGTAGGCGGGTTAGGAAGTTCTTGAAAACGTCTGCAGACCTTGTCTCAAACATTCTCATTCTCTTAAGATCAGGACTGGTTGATTTTTCCCCAAAACATAACTGACCTTTCACCAAATAATCAGGTGTTTTGAAAGTTGCATTGGGTTTCATCTTTCATTTGGTCTTCGATAAACTCTTATACGTCAATCTGAGTTGTATCTGGTTCTATCTAACCAAAAAAACTCTTTCCCAGTCTTCATCAGCCCAATCGATGTGTGTTCTCTAGAAAAATTTAACATTGCTCTATGATGCTCTGAGGTCACAGCTGGTCCTAGCGATGAGTTTGTTGTTTTCAGATCAGTTTCGGCTAGGCGTCGACGAACAGTATCAGTTGCAATTCTGCTTCCTGTAGCTGTGTCTGCAGCCATCTTCTTGTCACAAACGGTTGTCTTAAAGCAGAGATACTTAAAAAACGGTCTTAAACTGGCGTAGTTATGCGATGTTTGCCTTGACGACGTTTTCTTTAGTGCTGACCTGAGTCCGCATAACATTCGATTATATGGGAAACGGTGTATCGCAAATCTCTGTCCAATTCTTCGAAAGGTTCATCCTTCTTCCAATAAAATGATTACTTCGGCACACTCTTCGGCAGTCACATTTGTAGATTGGCCTTCCATAATAAACACTTTACTGCACCGTACCGTAAATGATCAATTTTATCAAAAAAATCGCACGAAAACGAAACAAAAATAAGATAAAGAGACCCATAAAAATAAACAATTCTATAAATTTGACATGTATGCCAGATTACAATAAAAATAAATATTTTAATTTTTATATGAATTTCTAAAAATAATTCAAAATAATTTTGCTGGCCAGTGTATATTTAAAAATGAAATAAAATAGTAAAAAAATCGAAAATTTTATAAAGGTAACAAAACTGGAAATACCATTTGTTGAAAAGCAAATTGAAAAAATATGTATTTTAGGGATATTTATTGGCAAATGTATTAGAAATCCTATTTACAAATCTTCTGTTCCTGTTGCAAATGGCGAAACGTCAGAAAATTTAGTTTATCAAAAACGCAGGAAGAATCCAGAAGATTTGTAAATAGTATTACAATAGCCCGTAGAAGTTAACGTTGGAATTTCAAATGGAACCTATAAGCATTTTTTGATGCGAACTACAAATACCTACCTCCTACAGATTTTGAAAAAGTGTAAGTAATAAAATAAAACAATCAAGATTTTTTTTACTAAAATATACTGTCATATTTCTAACCAAAGAAAAAATGCAGTTACTTACTGTTTGTTCACTTACGAGTTTGGATAATACATTTTATATATGTAGCGATTTACTTACACACCTATTATTACTTTTTAAAATTTTGTTTGGCATCCGAATTTTCGGTTAGGTTTTTATAAAATATAAACATCAAGTTCTTTAAAACTTTTAATGTTACATCCAACCTAAATCATTCCGTTCATGTCAGCAAACCTACGTTTTAATGGTTTGAAATATATGGTTTATTCATAGTGTATTTTCGATAATATTTATAGATATGCATTGGTAATATTGAACGACTTGTTACCATTATAAATTATTGCAAACTGAAAAGGTCTAGTATTTTTTGCTTGCATTTGTTATTTATATTTATTTCAAATAATCATTCGTATATGTTAAACTTAACTAGGGTGTGCTTGGGTGATTGATTGAAGTGGTTTTTGTTCTAATCAGAACCAAATAAGAAATACGATCGACCCAAACAAAAAACAAGCGTGAGACGCAATCACGGTTACGGTTGCTATACTCGAATGGCTTTTGATAAATAATTTTAAATAGGAGCACAATAATTACCTTGTCAAAATGAGCCATAAGATAGTTTTGCAAATTTGCAGCATGGCAGTCACAGTACCAAGGATTACTGTTGAGTGTCATTCGTCGCAGCGATGCGGTCTTATTTAAGAGCTTGATAAAGTTTTCACTCAGGCCAGTCAAATTATTTCCACTCAAACGAAGTTCCTAAAAGTGAATTACAAACAAAATGATCTCACGTTAGAAATTTAAAAAATAAATGTACAATTACCGTGGTCATTTATACTTGCCTTAATGCGAAGTGGGATCCAAGTCATTTCATTGATATGATTGCGGGATAAGTCCAAGACGGTGACGTTGTGGTAAGATGAGTTGGTAGTGGGCCCTTGTGAGAAATGGTTTCCGTTCAAATATAAAACTGTCTGATTGTACGTGATGCCGGTAATATTCAATGTTGGATATGTCGATAAGTTCCGATAAGAGCAATCGACGATTATGCTTAAATCATAGGGCCTATAATCGCAGGAACAAGGACCGGGACAGTTAATCAATCCTTCCAGGGAGCACGTGATATGCCCAGGTCTGAGATCCCTTGCTAAAATAGGAGACTCGAAATTCGAGCAGTATAACCGATCCTGTTTAATGTCGACCAGTGCTCGTACTTCGGGATCGTACATGTCGTTGTTATATTTGACCAGATTGTAGTTGGTACAATCGCAAGGGATAACGTTGTCACTCAGGATTAGTATGGTTTGACTCGCATGGTACGGTTCATATAGGGATCCGTTATAATTCGCCCTGGCTATTACCTCTATGAAGGAGAAGTCGACTTCAGTTATGTTATTATGGGAAACATCCACTATCATTTCGAAGGACGATGCCTTAATAAACATTGGAACCTACAAGAATAAATTGATTTTATAGTATTTATCATCAAGTGCATAAGAACAAAATGCAAAATTTTATCAGACTGTTCTGTATAATAGGCACATAAAAAATCAAAATTTATGCTTGTTTTCTTGTAAAAATAAAACATCGATCCAATTAGTTTATTATAATTCATAGCTTGAAAACCAATTAATAATAAATTCATTTATTTATTTAATAATAATAAATAAATTGTGTAAAAAAATGTTAAGATATTTTTGGGCAATAATTTTACTCTTTCCACATATCCCTGCATAAAAAATGAGAATTTTGGAACTTACCCGGACATTAGAAATATCATTATAACTGACGTTGAACTTTTTTATATTGACCATTAAGTCAAAATAATTTTCGGGTATGGTCTCGATTTTATTATGGTGCAACAACACCTCCTCGATTTTGACGCAGAATCCCAAAGCAGTAACGCCCGTGATCCTATCAGGAACCATGTCCCATCTATTATGAGACAAATCAAGGTGTCGGAGCTCCAACAGATCGTGGAAACTCGTCATCTCTATTTTTGCAATTTTATTTCTGCTTAAGATTAGTTTCTGCAAATTCTCCAAACCTAAGAACATATCAGCTCCCAACACCGTCAGCTCGTTCTTCTCAAGATGTAGTTCTTTTAATTTACGCAGATTATAAAACGCTTCATCTGGAATCGAGGTCAATCGATTTTGAGACAAATCCAGCTTCATTAAGGAGTCTAGACCATCAAAGAGAGTTTTCGGAATAGTCGTTAGAGAATTATTCGACAGTTGTATTTCTGATAAATTCACTGATCCGGTAAATGTGTGATCGGGAATGCTTTGCAAGCCACAGCTGTCCATTCTGACAACTTTAAGTTTGGTTAAATTTGCAAAAATGTAATCGGGTAGAAATATCGGATTAAACGCAATCTTAATTTGCTGAAGCAGAGCGTTGTTTTTGAATGTGTTAGAGTGGAGAAACTTTATGCGATTATTTAGCAGACTGAGAATGGTTATGTCTAAAAGTTCCGAGAATGTATCCGGCTCTACCGTTTCGATAAGATTGCTGCTCAGCTCAAGCAACTTCACACCGGTTAATCCGCGGAACATGTCTTTTCTTAAGACATACAGGTTATTGTTCCATAAATACAAATTCGTCAATTCGCCGAGGCCTTCAAATCCGCCATCAAACAACGAAGTTATTTCATTGCCAGACGCATCGAGAGATTTAAGTTTTGGCACGTATTTAAAATCAATATTTAAATCTTTGAGTTTGTTCTTATATAAATTCAACCCTACTAAATTGGGGACATACTTCAAAAAATTTTTACTCAAAATCAGCGAGTTGTATTTGATGTTTAATCTTTCCAGATGATCCAGTCCTTCTAGATAATCACTCGTAACGTTCAAGCTGTTGTCGGCGGACGTTTCTATGCTAAGCTGTCGAAGGTCCACCATGTTAAACTTCCTCCTGGCTATTTTTATGACCGCACTTATATCGGGGCAGTATTTTATGGTAATACTTGGAACGTCGTGCCCGTCAAATGTAGGGAAAAGGGATTCGTTAAAAATTCCTTGATTCTCTCTCGTCTCGCAAAACATATCTACGGTCCTTCCTGGAGTCCACTGTATGTTTATTTCGTAATGTACATCTGGACATTGGAATTCGTATACGCCCCCGATGGCAGAGTAACAACTGCACGTGTCTGTTTTTATACATTCTGATGGCGATTGGACACTAATGCTAACTAGTGATGTAATGGATATTAATACTAAGCCATTTAACAACTTCATCTTCCTATCTGAAACAAAAAGCAAATGAAAGCCAAGCAACTTTTAGAAACGACTTTGGCTTTCTTTTGTGGTAATAAAAAACCACTAATTTATGTCTTAATTCAGAAGGCCACATTCGATAATGCGAGTCTATATCGTTCTATTTGTAAACTATTTCGTTGATACTATAAGGTCAAGGTTAAGTTAATGTAGGGAAATTCTCACATAAAAGCTGTTGTTGTGTACAAAGTTGAAAAGATATTGCAAGTACGACAAAAAAAATTGAAGAAGAAAGAAATAAAAACACTTTTTTTATTGTGTCTAATAAAAGAAAACGTTTTAACAGTAACATCATCTAGTAAAAATAATTCCAAGATAAGAAACATTTTTATTTTCATGCCAATCTTTCATATTTAAGGCAACAGTTTTTATCAACCTAACCACACAGCTGTACAAAAACCTTTCGAATAACACTAAATACGAAAAAACGATTGCAGCAAAATGTCGTTCCAAATATATTTGCGGTTTCGCCACATTCTGAAACCGGATACTTAAAATCCAACAACAGTTGTTGCGTAGATTATAGAACTATTAAGTGAATACGTTGTATTATATTTGTCGACAATGATTTTTTTATGTTTGGTCAAAGGCTGTTTAGCTGGGTTTCACAATGTAATCTGCAAATGTTTCGTTTTTGGGTTTAACATCTCAGTGTAACAGCATTGATATTTATATTGGTTAGTTTGTCTTGTGTACTATCATTAGGTTTTTTTTTTCGAAGTATCGTCAGAAATACCCAACAATATTAAAAAATGAACAAAAACTCGCACTAAATTGAGACAATTTAGACAAAATTTAGAAGTACGTACATAATGTTCAGGTTGAGCCAAATTGAACACTTTTAAAGGGAAACTCGCCTTGCTAAAGCAGATAGAGAAAATCTAATGTAGATCTCTGCAGCTCGATTTTCAGAACAAACATAATGATAAAAGACAGTGCCATCGTAATACAAATACAGAAGACAAATGCGTTGACAAATTCTGATGTTGGTTGTAAAGACGCCTAGGTCTTAGTTTAAGCTTGCACCATTGCACTTTTCATACACACAAGCCAGACCTTACTGTGCGGCATGTATGTGGTTTTTATCTAATGTTAGTTCTGGTTAACCTTGTTCTATCTTTAATTTTAATGTTGGCGTTGCAAAATTATTTTTAACGGCTCCTAAAACCACTATTTCTTATCATCTCCGGGGAGTTCGTGTATAGCTTTTGTACCACTTACACACACACATTATATTATTATATACGAATTAATTATATAAAAATAAAATAATATTATATTGAAATAATTAAATTCTGCGTAAAATTTTGCTTTGGAAATGTTTTCATGACAACTCAAAATTTTTCATAACAAAAAACTTACTGCCACTTTTTTAAGATGCACATTTTCTAAAACCACTCCGTCACTCTGAAACAATACTAGATACCTATGAGCGGCTTTTACCTAAAAAGTTGATCTACCCTGTAAATATTTTTAAAATTCATATTCATGAGACGAAGATCATTACGTCGTTGATTGAACTCTAGTTCTAGTTATTCTATACCTACCTACCTAATCTATTTTCTCGTTTTGAAATTATTGTAATTTTTCGAAAATTGAGTTTCAGTTGCAACTTTTGTTGTTATTTTGAATTATAATATCGTCTATGTTCTATATCTCGCCTAATAGTTGTGTTCCAGCTGTATTGGAATGCGTGTCTAAAACTTTCACGTCTTCAAAACAAAATCGAACTCATTTGTTTTTGGGATCTTCCATTAATTACTTGAAAAATCAGGAAAAGAATGTGAAAACGTATTTTTCGATTATTCGAAATAAGCATATGCCCTAGTAGAATATAAATTTTAATATTTCTTCTAAAATGTCAACTTTATAATTTTGTAATTATCGTACTGGCCTTTTAATCTAAAACGTCAACCCTCTAAATCTCTAAGACCTCAACATCAATTTGATATCATCGGTAGTAGGAGACTGGAGACAAATTTAAGTTTTGATTATTTTAAGTTGTTGACAACGCATGCGCTTATTTGTATTTTAAAATTTATTAAAATGTATAACAACAGATTAAGTTGACATCAAGAATAATTATTTTACAACAAAACATCCAACATCTTCAAAAATAAATCCAAAATTTATTTTTAGATATTTCGGTCAAGAAAACAATTTCCGATGGATTTCAATGGATTCCAAGCCCTACAAAATCATTGCTCTCACAGAGGCAACCATTGACGACAGAATGTATTTATTTGATGTAGTATATAAAAACATATTTGACTTTGTTCTAAAAATATATTCATACTAAAAATGTTCCTACACCAATTTCTAAACATTTTCTTATTTCTTCTGATTTTATTCTCCAAATTTAAACGTTTCAATTGTAACGGGAAAGAAAGTTTCGTATCAGCAAGCGCTTTTTTTTCTATAATTTATTGTTACGCATCAGCAATTTGTACGAACCGAACAATCGGAAATAATAGGCCCAAAAATCACAAATTCACAGATTTTGTGTGGCTCTTTTGATCCGTGTCTTGCGGGACGTTGAAAACAAATTCTACCCGCGTAATCATTTTACACTTGTATGCTGGAAAATTGTTGTCAATCTAAATTATCTATTAGCTAAACTAATAATAACGAAATAATGCGACGAGCTCAAGGCTGGGGATTTTTAAAATTTATATTTGGGAAAGACTAATTGGGTACTTTATAATGTACTATTATTTACAGGCTGTCCACTCTTACAGATGAACTTATTATGTACTATAACACATAATTTGCAAGGATAATATGTTATTGAAGATTTTTGGTACTGTCAAAAGTTGTTCCGTAACTACTCTTAGAAATATTGCAGTCACCGCAGTGCAGAATATTACTTACACTCACGATGGAGCAAATAGTTTAAATTAAAACTACCCATAGAATACAAAAATTATTTAGAATTCAACGTTGTGCTCAAAGGATAAGTTATAATCTTGTATTGCAAGAAAAACTGCAATGCAATAAAAAAGTGCGACTTGTTTTTTTTTTTAAATATCTAAATATATTTTATATATTAAAACAAGTGAAGTCCTTTGTAAAGTTTTAGAAACGTCTTGAATGTCTCTAGGAAAAGCATAAAGCAAATTGAAATTTCAAATTTGACTTATAAGTATGCTACATCAAAATATCTATTTGATTTTAGGAAAGTTTCCAAGTGTCAAAGGTTTTACCCTAATTGCTTTGTCACCGTAAGTAACCGGATGTAATTAACCGCTCAATTTTTTCGAAATTCTTTGGCGGATAATCACATTTTTATCCAGCGTGCAATTAATTTCTGATGCAGGGCCCTAATTTAATTTTCAAAAACTTCCTTATATTTTTTGTAATTTAAAAAAAAATCCATTTGGGATATATGTGGACCTGTTATAGCTAATTCTTAAAATTATTTTGCAAAAATAAAAATTATTTGTATAACTCTATCAATTTATATTTGTACATTTCATATTTTAATAATGACCTGCCGACGAATTCGATACATTTTTAGATCTTTACTTTCGCCGTTTTTTAAAATCAGGGTTTTGAAGATTAAATTGTCCCAAAATTCTGGCATATTATGCTTTAAATATTAAAATAATATTCAACTTCATTTACAATAATTACATTGACTCCAAAAATTCTAATATGCTGTAATATAAGGCGTTTGCCGTTTCCTTAAAGGCTTTTAGCTCCTTTTAGACCATCTGCATTTAATATACACATTTTTTTAACCGTGACGGAATATTTTGATCCCAATATTCGGCAAAGTACAGCGTGAACAACTCTGCATGTGTATATATCAATCGAATGTTCTAGCAATAAATTATTCTTAACATGTACTTTTAGTCATTCCTAGAAAACATCGTTATCTAAAATTCAAAGAATTATCAACAGATTTTGTTGCCAGCAGCTGTAATATATGCGCCTTTTCGCAACCCACAAAATGATCCGCATTAAAAAAAAATGATCTTTAAATATTTAGTTTGGACATCGGAAAACAACTCTGTAATTAAAAAAAGAAACGCAAATGAGGCGCGAGATCCGGATTCATCCAGAGGTACGTCACTGTTTATTGTTTAGCTACGTACCGATTTTTAACGATCCTTCAATATTGTCGAAAATAACGCGGTGACTTTTAGACCAAAACCACTGATTGTTGTTGCACTAGTTACATCTTCTTGCATTTTGTCTGCACGTCATTATCCACGACACGGAATCAATAAAATCACCCAAAAACTGCACTTCACCTTGCGCAAATGACTTAAGTGCAAACCGCGCTCGGCAAAACACTACGTTCGCAGGAATTTTGTGCTGCAGGAATCGATAAGCGACTTCACTACAATTTCCGTCCCGTTCTTGTTAGTCAAACTTCAATCGCGGCTTCCCTGTTTAATTTGTTTATCAGAAGGCCGCACAACTCGTTCGAAAGCTGTGTCGTCATATAACAGAACCGGCCTCAGAAAAATATGTTGTCTTGTATCCTAACGAAATAAGTACTACATCAAGCTTCGGGCGTTTTGTTGGGAGTGATAAACAATATATTCATTAAATAAGAAAAAGCAAAGAACCATGTCCAAACTGCAAATTATTTATATAATTTTATTAGCGTACTATGTTCTATGATTGATAATTATTTTTCAAAAAGAATACTAGGGCATATGATTCAAAACACAAAAAAATAATAAAAATTGCTGTAGGGAATTATAATAATTTTGGCAGTAGGAACAGGAAAATTTGAAAAAACAATGTAAGTTATTTTATTGTAATGAGCAAAACATCTCTAATCTATCTGTAAAAAATTAGCACAGTTAAATAGGCTGCTGTCGAATTACTGTATTCGCCTGTTTTAAATATCTTTTAAAACTTGTCTGGGAACTACACGAAAACGGCCAAGAACTGTACAAGAAAGGTGTGTTCTTTCTTATATTTAACTATTTTTTGTTCATGTAATTGGCTAAACCTAAGCCCTCGTTAAAATGATATAAATATATGGATTTTTCAAATAAAAAAAATCAACGGCACCATTTTCTTATTGGTACTGCCAAAATCATTACGATTATAACAATTTTTCGATTTTTTTAGGAAAAAAATTAGAAACATTTGTAGTGTGAGGTTAGTTAATTGTTAGTCGATTAAAAAATGAATAAGATAAATATTGTAGCAATTATAAAAATGGTTTACTCAACAAGTAAGTAATAAGTCTACCCCATATACAGGATATTATTTAATGGTTGTAGCAATTTCAGAGTCGCATTGTTGAATCAAATTCAAGTCTAAAATTTCATGAAACATGAATTGTTGTTCGAAATGAGCAAAATCCATTTAAATTTGCCATGGTTCAATAAAAATCCTATCGGATTTTGAGTGAACCTTTTTTAAAGCTGAATTTTCTATTCCTCGGAAAGCTCATGAATAATGTATAAACATTTTTGAGATATTATATTTTCAGCCAAGTTTATCGGGTTTGGGAATATCAAATGGTTTTTACATTTTCTTCTAGAATAGTTGACAAAATACTAGTTATTTTCTTTTTAACAAGGGCTTTTAGTATAGTATAGTAGCACAGTCAGTGGAAATTTCTTTGAACAATTTTTAAAAATGCTCATTACTGTCAGTATTACAGGTGCTCCGGGTAGCCCATTTATTATCTCAAAATCTGTAAAAAATATCAAGAAAACTTACAAACAAAACTTATTTGGACTCACTCATACTTTTAACATATTATATTTTTACCCTCGAACACCCTCTATATTTAGGGTTTATTTAATTTCCCTGAACTTAATATATCTCTTAATACATCTGTGTTGATATTTAAAAAAAGAATCAATACAGCGCGATCAAAAAATAACATTTATAACCAAAATGAAAAAATCGTTAGATTTTTTTAATGGAAACGCTCCATTTTTTCTTATTTGCCATTTAAAGATGGCCCAATTCCTTTGTTTTCAAATTGATCGGTGATTTAGAAAACACTTCATGCATGGTGGCTCCGGAAAACACCTACCATTATCGTGATCTACATTTGGGGCATAACTTTTGATTTGTGATTCATTAGTAAGACATTTATATTAAAATAAAGATGTTAAGGAAACTGGTTACACCTAAATCAGATATTTTTAGTGTGGGTATCCTACCTGCTTTCTATTACTAAAGCGTTAAGGTGTTGCGATAACCTAAACAGAACGATTGATCACAAAATCCACTCCACTAAATAACGGCAAAAAAATTATTTGTCGTCACTTGTTTGGATAAATCTTTAGCGAATTGTATTAACATAAGAGATCGTCGGATTGTCCCAATGGCTAAACTGGTTAAACTGGAAAACGCGTTTATGCACAAGACCAACTTGAAAAAAATAAATGGCTTTCTACGAGGCAACAACCTACCTTAAATACTCATCCGACTTGTTATTTATCCCCCATAATAACCAATTCGGAAAATACATTTTAATGTATAGGCGGTTTAGGAGAAGAGAAACTTCCCAAAATAAAAGACTCTTTGCCACCATGGGATATTTTATACGTTAGTTTACCCCCATTTATGCTATTATTTCATGATATCCCGACTAAATTTTTAGATTTTTTTTAACACGGAACTGTAGTTAAAAATTTGGAAAAATTTGCAAATAAAAGTCTGAGGCAAATAACTCACGTGCCTCACGTACAGATAAGTACTCCGAACTGGACAAGCAGCAAATGAAACAATGAAAACAGAATAAAAGTTATAATTACAAATACAGGGAAACAAAATGCGAATTTGCATTAGATTGATATCTGCCTGTTAACAATTCCTATTCGTTCCTATTGTCCTTTTCTTTAATATTGGTCCTTTCTCTATGTAATGATTATACTTGCAGGTAATTTTTAAATCATTTCCACAGCATTCGAATCTCTAATAACGTCACATTCCAAGTGTTGTTCTTCGTCCTATATTATAGATCTTTCTTCCATATGTTTATATATCTCATTGACTTATTACAGTGATCCTTGATATCCCGGAGGGTCACTAAAAATGGAAAATGGCAGATCGCCCACAAAACCAAGGAGCTTAAATATTATATGACTCTTTTTTGAATTCACATTGATCCAGAGAGTCTTCTCTCTAATTCCTTTTCCTTATGATCTCTTCATAAAATATGTACGTGAAACTTTAAAATAAAATGAAATATAGTCTTGACTTGACACTTGATGCAGAGTCACTTAGTGTTTTCATGTTTTTCTGGTTATCGGTAATACCTAATTTGAATATCAAGCCGTGATTGCATATATCTAGGCCGAATTCATTTAGGGCATGAACGTGATGAAAGACAGAGGCTTCTAAGTTGTTTGCAAATGAAGCGCTCTAAAAGTAAATTTTAAAGAGGTAGCGTTACACACCAGAAAAAGCGCTCGAAGCTTTTTATATCAGAATATTTCCAGTGTGAGTACGAGAACGGCACTTTGCTGGAACAATGTTCGCGTACTCGTTTGATGTACTTTTTTTGGTGCCTGGTCTCCCATTCTTACAGTGTTTATGCTCTAGGAAAAATGCTGAGGACGAACTGACCTTGTAAAAACAATATCCAAACTGGTAGACTGCTGCGTCCTATACAAACCGTTCAGCACGGAAATATAAATAGCCGATGATAATAAATAGACTATATATAAATTATTAATAATGTGTATAGTGGGCGAATAGCGTGCAAATTGTGACTTTGTTATTTTAGTCAAATATTTTCACGTGCAATTACTGGTCAGCTAAATAACTTATCCTTTGTAATTTCTGTAACACTTCATTTACTTGCCGTATATACATGTTCTTATATTACATCTCAACAGCATATTGGTAATCGTCGACTTCAGAAAGCTAACAAAATAAATATGTAATATTAAAAAAATATGTTACTATAGTGGGTATTATACATATGTAATGACACCATGCTGATCGCCAACAACGTAAGTAAGTAACACTTACAACATTTTCACTAACTTACACTTTGTTCCATTTTCTTTCTAAACAGCGATATCCAGACTCTTAACGCCTTTTTGCCAGAAAATTTAATGAGATCTGGGCCTATTTGCATATACTGCCGTAAAAATGTTGCTTCCAAACTTATCGACGATTTGTCAGCGACTTTGTTGAATGTCGTTACGTCATTGGTTAAAAACGAGATTTTAAATCTCGCGCATGCGTATTTTGAATGAAACTTCTCCATTTTTTCTTTGAGAAACGCTTCATAAATGCCTGCATTATCAGCATTAGGCAGTACCTTCATATCTCTAGTAGGTAAATGACTGTGAGGGATATTTCACATAACCTTAAATACAGGTATATAACAAATTAGTAACCATCAAACATACAAACATCAAAACTTTGTTGTCACCGCTGTTTGAAATATATTAAATTAAACAAAGAGAAAGAAAAATGACGTAGTTACATTAAATTCTAAATCTTATTGTTACATGGGACGCAGTGCGTCATATACCCAATCATTGCGTGTCGTTTCATCTGAGCCAGGGTGATTGCAAGTCGCAACTATTCTCTTCTGCACTCTTGTTTATGGCTCTTAATTGACAGCATCTTTGGTTGCCGGCAAGTTTAACCTAGAATTTAAGTTTAAAATGTATTGAATTACTTTAAAGTTTTTGAAATATATTACCATTTGATGGAAAACCATATTCGTATAGTTGTTTTAGATTATTATATGAGTGAACCCATACCTGGATTAGATATTCTGTATTCCGACTTTAGGGGTTCGTCCGTATCTCAAGTGCCAGTCCTCCGCTGTTTTGGATCGAATGGAAATGGTAAAAATATTTATTTAAATATAATATTTGCAATTCATCACTCACGGTTTTATTCTTAATGTAATTTTTTGTCGCAGTAATTACAAATGTATTTTTATTTTCAGGTCAAAAAATATGTGTTCATATTCACGGGGTATTTCCATACCTATATATACCTTACGATGGAACTGGAGATGCTGATACTCTTTCTTATCAGTTAGCAGGTACTATCGATAAAGCTGTCAATATTTCCCTAAACCAAGGCAGCTCATCAACTCAGCATGTATATAAAATATCTCTCGTATCTGGTATGTAAGTATAATTAAATTACAACTCAATTTTCATTTATCCTGAGAACATTATGTACTTTTCATATTTCAGACCAATGTATGGTTATCACTTTAAAAAGCATCAATTTTTTAAAATTTATTTATATAACCCCATGGTGGTAGCGACAGTCAGCAAACTTCTATCAAACCAGTCAATTTTAGGAAAAGTATTTCAGCCTCACGAAGCACACATAAATTTTACCCTTCAGTTTATGATTGATCACAACCTACATGGTATGAGCAATATGGTTGTTGATGACATAAAGTATAGAATAAATTCAAGCATTTCGACAGAGAATGGCAGCTTTTCACAATCAACTTTAGAAAAAAATACAACTTGTGAACTGGAAGCTGATATAAATGCTCAAAATATCATTAACAGGAGGGAGATTGTTAGTGACCAGTTAGTAGCCAATCCCGGGATAGCAGCTCTTTGGGATGATGAAAAACAAAGACGTAGAAATAAAAGCAAAGAGTCTCAGCTAGGTCAGTTTATAGAAGTAAAGAACACTGATATATCTCCCACTAAATCACATTTGGTTTATAAGGAGGCTCTTTTAAAGAGATTGACTCTATTATCTTCTGATGAAAAAGTCAATAGATTTGAAGAAAATATGTCTGTATATCCAGCAGAAACTCCAGATGATGTAAATATTCAGAATGCCTCTACAGTTGATTTACACACCCCTTCAAGTTTGGAAATTTCTTTAGATGACTCTTTGATGCAACCCAGTCAGAATGTAACATTATTTCAGTCTTACATTAATGTTTCGCTCAATGAAGCAGATTTAAGTTTTGCCAATGTTTTAAAGGAACTGGAAAATGCAAATACTGAATGTGTGGAAGAGGGTAGTATTCTCTCTCAAACAGTAATAGAAAACACTGAAGAAAATGGTGATTCTGTTGAAGATTTAGACTTGAGTATGCCTTTGCCTGAAGTTCTTACACCAAGGGAGACTGATGTTTTTCAGCATACTAATGATTCCACTGATAATATTTTCCTTGATTTAAACAACACATTGATACCCCAAATTGATGGGCAAGTTGACACTGATTGTGTTCGCTATATGACAAGATGGCAGATGAAAAAATTAAAAGAAAATGTAAGTTGTATTACTATTTAAAACATTTGAAACATAATTGATTCTTCTTTAGATGTGTTGTGTTAAGACTGGAAGATCAATGCCCTCACTGGAGTGCTCATATAGTGGACTACAGACATTACCATCTCAAAGAGAAGAACCACAAAAACAACTAGTATTAGTACTAAGCAGGCTGCATGAAAATATTAAGTCTTCAAATAAAATTGTCAAATTGCAAAAAACAAAACTACCTAGTAATTTGAAGAAAACAAGATTCCAAAGAAAGGGGGAACACACATTAGAGGATGAAATTAGACTTCTGGATTTCAGAATAAATAAATTGAATAGAAGGTTTAAACTACAAAGGATAAAAAGAGTAGTGAGCAAAAAAGAAAAAATTTGGTCCTTAATGTTCCAACAAAAGCATGTACCAAAATTTAGTCTCATTCCTGGACAGAAATGGTTTCTGGGTAAATATTTTAATCTTTTTTTCTTGACTTTGCTTGTGTGGCTAGACGCTTATATTTAAACCAAACACTTTGCAATTTGCAAAAAGTTGTTATGTACATGCATATCTTTTATCAAATTGAGGATAGTCATTATATGGACAATGTAATTTGGCACATACAACATTCATCAACATCAAATAATACTCCCTCCAGTTGTTTAATTTAATTTAATTTAATTTATAATAATCATATAAAACAAACAAACAAATAAATCAATAGGTCTCATATCTACTAAAATGAAGGGTAATAAAGTTGTTTGAATAATAATTTCAAAGATATTGCTATACACACCACTAAAGCTAGCTAAAAATTGCATTAGCCTCTGAACACGCCTTAATAATAATAAAATACCTTAAACAATTTACAGTTTTTTTATTATAAAACTCCTTACTATAATAGAGGTACATTGCTGGGTAACACTTCATAAAAATCTTACTAAAACTGTCATGATTTTTTTATGTAGAAATAAATATTGCAGAAATATACAGTGAAATATGCAGAAAAAAAAACTTGCATTTTGGTCTGGATTTCGTCATTATTTATTCAATTATTTCCCTTTTTTATTTCCTTAATTTTTATTGTTGGCTTATGACCTTCAACAATGAAAACACAAAATAATTGTTCTTGATAAAAAACATGCGTAAAATCATCTTCTTTTTAATTTGTAATTGATTGTGACTAAACTTATATTACACTTAATGGGATATTTTCTGACATAATTTTGTCTGGTCCTAGAAAGATGAGGGTGAGGATCAGTTAAATCAAAAACGTGTTTTTTCCTTTTACCGGGTTGCGTCAGAAATCTAAATGGTATTAAGTCACACGACCTCCAGTCACATTTGAACCTACATAGTGGAGTTGTACACAGATTTGTTTTTACCAGGCCAATGGGTACTAATGTTACTAAACACTGTTTACTTTTAACAAGAAACATATTAGAAAAGGATAGATGTATGACTTAATGCTCTTTTGAAATAGAAAAAACCCGAAATTTTATATAAGATTCGTTTATAAAACTCATAAAATCATAAAAAGTGGACTTAATAGTGTTTAACTTTAATGAATCACTGATCTTATTTAATTCTAGGCTCTCGGTTTATTCTGTTTTGTGTTCATACTTTTAAGTATATTTCAGCCAAGCGCAAAGAAGAGTCAGTTATGGCCCATATACTCCAACAAACGAGGAAATATATAGATGATGATCTACACTTAATTGTAGAATATCAGGGTAAGAAAAAGTTCCTTTATTATTATGGAGGCAAAATAATACCACAAGTTGTTGAAATTCATACTAACTACACAGACGAAATTAACAATTTAAAATGTCAACAGAACACAAATATTAAAGAAAATTTGAAATATTTAGAAGACTCTATTCCTCATCTTAGCAATGCAGATGACTTTATAACCCCAGATTTAAAATATTCTCTCGCCACAACACTCGAATTAGAGAAACAATTGAGGGACGCTGAATTGGAACTAGAGAAACACTTATGCTATTTGAAAAATATTTCAATAGATGTAAAGAAAAGCAATACAGGTGTGAATAACTTTCAAAATCGGCCAGTCTCGCCAGTACCAACCGGTTTTATTTTGGATACTGGAGAAGAATTAAACAGGTCTTGTAATAACTGTGATCCTACCAACTGTGATAAAACTACAAATTTTTTAAATTATAATAAGGATAGGGATAAGGGAGATTTCACTTATAAAGGTATAAATTTCAAATCTGTTTTTCTGTCACCATCATTTTATATTAATTTTATTGGTATAGGTTTCAAAATTTGCTAATGTTTAACGTTTTTTAGGTAAATTATCTAGGAAATCTTTATTATATATGAATTGTGATGGGACGGCAAACACGAGCTCCTCAGAAGATGAGTTAGATGTTATTGATTACCATAAAAGGAGATCCGGCAAGTATCTTAATTGTTATCTTTAAAATCAGCTATGGTGGCAAATCTTGTTTTCAAAATAGTAATATAAAATCATGTTTAACAGGTAATACGGTTACGGAGAATAATGTTTCAAGACCTTTTAAGTGAGTGTATTCTTGCCAGAGCCACATTTAATAGTGACATTTTTGTATTTTACTTTTGTTGTAGATGTGAACAGACAGTCGATATAACAGAAGCTGTTTCAAAGTCATCAAATTCCGTGAGTAAAAATCCAAGAAAAACAACTAATTCCCAGTTGAGAAAAACTTTGAATCAGTCAGATAATTCTTTTGATATATTCTCAAATGGCCATTGCAGTAATGCTCTTCCCGAGAAACACTGCATAGAGATCGATCATCATACAGAACAAGGCTGTTCTAATGTGTTTTCCCCAGATTCTTCCTTGAGGCTAAATCCAAGTTACAAATATTCATTAAATTCTGATTTAAGTTTTAAACAAATATGGGAGAATATTATTTTAACTCCAAAAATAAAGGCACCAACAAGAGATTGCATTGAAAAATCCTTAGGTCAGTATGGGATTCCACACATAAGTTATTCTGGAGCTTTTTACGGTAACGTGGAAGATTGTACTGGTTCTGTTGAAATAGGACAAAACGTTTTGAACATTCCAAGCAAAACCACAGCTCATTTAAAAGAATTTGAATCTCATAATGATGCTTTAAACAAGTTCCGAAGATTGATAGTTGAAACTACTGTCAAACTGAATTGGAATCAAAACAACCTTAAAAAGTTAAAACTTAATCATTGCGGCAATGGTGGCTTAATCATCACGCCATTAAAAAAACCGCCGTCTATGAGATCTGTTAATAAATGGGTAGATGAAAACACGAATTCAAAATCTATATCAAAGAAACTTAAGAAGAAACACGAAAAAAACAATTTTTACATTCGAAACAGCTATGATAGCAACATGGACTCTATATCTATTTCCTCTTGCACTCAATCTCAGCCTCAGAATAGCTCTGATCTATTTTCAACCCCTGAAGAAAATACACCCAATTTAAGGAAATCTGTTGTTTATTCTCAAGATCGTGACAGATCAGATGTCATTGAGGGAGTGACGCAAAGTAGCTACACTTTACAAAAATCAGTGGAGAATTTACAAGCAGTGCGGACTGTAGTTCAATATCAGTTCTTAACCACTGTTGTAGTAGAACTTCACATCCGTACCAGGGATAAATTAAATCCCGATCCCGAATACGACCCCATTTGTGGCATTTTTTATTCATTTGCTAATGATGCTCCACGGGATTCATCAAGGATTTTAAGAAAGACGGGAGTTTTTGTTATAAATAGTCTGCCTAACGATATTCACAATATATCCCCGTCCATATTGAATGGGACTTCTCGGGATTATGATACTGCCTATGCAGATTCTGAAGAATCTCTCCTGCACAATTTTTTAAACTTCATTGTCCATCTAGATCCTGACATACTAGCGGGTTATGAAGTTCATATGTTATCATGGGGTTACTTAATTGATAGAGCAAGATTCCTAAATATTAGCATTTTACAGTCTCTTGGCAGGAGTCAGGTAAATAGATTTACTCGATTTAAAAAATCTGACGATAATTACGAATTAGAAACAGCTGTGACAGGGCGGATAGTGTTGGACATTTGGAGATTAATGAGACATGAAGTTGCATTACAAAGCTATACTTTTGAGTCTATAGTTTACGCAATTTTGCGCAGGCGTGTTCCAAAATATTTATTTCAAGACTTGACACAGTGGTGGGATTATCCAACAAATCTTCATAGGCACAGAGTGATAGAATATTACTTCGTGAGAGTGAATTCAGTATTAGATTTATTTGAAAAGCTGGATTTTATCAATCGTACCAGTGAATTAGCTAGATTATTTGGAATCTTGTTTTATGAAGTCTTATCAAGAGGTTCCCAATTCAGAGTAGAATCCATGATGTTGCGTTTAGCTAAACCATTGAACTATATTCCAGTGTCTCCTACTGTGATGCAAAGGGCCCGAATGAAAGCACCAGAATACATTCCTCTTGTCATGGAACCGGAATCCAAAATGTATAACGATCCAGTAATTGTTTTGGATTTCCAAAGTTTATATCCTTCAATAATTATTGCTTACAACTACTGCTTTACTACATGTATGGGTCGAGTCGAATGTCTGGGGAAAAATGGCCTATTCGAATTTGGAGCGACTCAGTTAAAAATTTCCAAGAGAGTTACTGAGAAACTTGCAAAAAGGGATTTGATTAATTATTCCCCATGTGGTGTAGCATTTGTAAAAAAAGAACTTAGGGAAGGGATATTGCCGAGAATGCTCAAAGAAATTCTAGACACTCGGCTCATGGTAAAGAACGCTATGAAAGAGAACGCAGACAATAACATCCTTCAGAAGGTATTGCACAACAGGCAATTAGGTTTAAAATTGATAGCTAATGTTACTTATGGGTACACAGCTGCAAACTTCAGCGGAAGAATGTGCTGTGTAGAGGTCGGGGATAGTGTCGTTAGTAAAGGCCGGGAAACTCTTCAAAGAGCCATAGCTATGGTAGATACTACTTCTGAGTGGGGCGCGAGGGTGAGCACTACAAGAAAAACTTGTTGGGCAACAATGATCGACAACTTTTCTAGGTTGTGTATGGAGATACTGACTCGTTATTTGTAATTGTGCCAGGAAGATCTAGAAAGGGGGCATTTGAGGTGGGCAAAAAAATCGCAGAGGCGATTACAAAAGATAACCCCGATCCTATAAAATTAAAACTAGAGAAAGTGTACCACCCCTGTATTTTGCAAACTAAAAAAAGATATGTTGGTTACATGTACGAGAACCCAGATCAAACGGAACCAGTATATGACGCCAAGGGTATCGAGACAGTTAGGAGAGATGGTTGTCCCGCAGTTTCAAAGGTTCAAGTGTGCAGGTTGTTTAGGATTTAGATCTTCAATTACTCGTTCTAGATGTTGGAAAAGTGTTTACGTCTCTTATTTGACATAAAAGATGTCAGCTTGATTAAGCAGTATGTTCTTAGGCAGTTTAATAAAATCCAATCAGGGAAAACAAGTATTCAGGATTTGACATTTGCCAAAGAGTACAGAGGTGCGAGTGGTTACAAACCGGGTGCTTGTGTACCAGCACTAGAACTAGCAAGGTAGACAATCATTTTTTTATGAAAACTTTTATTTTCTGCAATTGCATGCAATATTAACTCATGGGCCTAAAATGTGTTTCAATTTAGTAAAGGGTTTTGTAGTTATTTTAGTAAATATTTATAATTTTTTGATTTTCTTTTAGTCATTGTTACAAGTAAAAAAAGTTTTATGTTGCCTGCCATACTTGTGATTTATTTTTCATTTTATCCTCGGTAAATTAAAACAATATTTAAAGTAAATAATAATATTTGCGAACTTAGCTGATATGACTTTAACTTCCGACGGTTTTCTTAAATGCAGAAGAATATTCAAGATTTGTTTTTCTTTATTTCACTTTTTTTTTCCTGTACTTTTGTTATCGCAAAGTAAAAAGTATATTTTTTCCGATTATATTAAATGCATTGCATTGGAAATATATCGTTACTTGCCGCTAAATCCGGGAGTGCAATATTAACAAAATAATGCCAAAAAGTTACACTTAGACATTTAGCTATTGAGTGTTACCACTTACGCAGAATGTTAGTCAGTATGCTTATATGTTGCTATAGAAAATGGAAACTTGTGGACAGGCGCAGTGAACCAAGAAGTGGAGAAAGAGTTCCATATGTTATAGTGAACGGCTCACCGGGATTACCTCTAATTAAACTTGTTAGAAGCCCGTGGGACATCCTTAACGATTGTTCACTGAGGCCTAATGCATTGTATTACATTACAAAAGTCATTATTCCTCCTATAAACCGGTGCTTTAGTTTAATTGGTGTCGACGTTAACGTTTGGTATGTTATGCACTTAAAAATGAATCCCACCGGCCGAATGTTGAATTGTAGGTTTAACCAAATGCCTCGCAAACAAACGTTCTACCTACCCAATTCATCTCCCGGCATGAAAACCACTTTGTCTCAATATTTTGTTAACAAAATTTGCGCTGGCTGCGAATTACCCACTGCGGATGCGTTGTGTCAGAAGTGTTGTCAGAAACCAGACATTGCAGCTTTTACTTTATTTGAAAAACTTAGAATATGGGAGAAGAATCATTATGAAGTCAATTTGGTAATCAACTGAAAATTATACAACTTGCCAAAATAAATAAGTAATTGAATTTTAGATTTGTCATTCTTGTACAAGATCATTCGTTCAAGTTGCGTGTAGTTCTTTAGATTGCCCAGTGTTGTATAGAAGAATACAATCCCACAGGGAACTTCAGCAGTCCAATTATATAAGAGATTTATTACGCAATAAAACATATTTTTAGAATTCTATGCTTTTCAAAAGCGACATTTTGTTTGTTTGTTTTTTTTTTTTTTTTTTTTCAAAGAAACTTCCATATACTACTCTAATACTATTTACAAACAAACTTGCTAACGTTTTGCCAATCATCCTGTTGGCTTCTTCAGAGCTTAACTGAAACTTTTTGTTTTGGTTAGTTCAGTTGTTTCAGTTTCAGTTAAGCTCTGAAGAAGCTAACAGGATTATTGGCGAAATGTTACCAAGTTCGACCCAACAATCACCGCAGGAGGAAACCAGAAGTTTGATGATGATTAAGTTCTAAATTCTTGTATAATTACCATAATCATAATCAACAATCTAAGCAACAATTGTAATTTTTTGTCATTTTTTTGACAATAACTTTGTCGAAAATTTTGATTCAAAATGTCTTCAAGTAAAAAACCATTAAGCGATCTAATGGACATAGACACCATGGATAAGGCGACGCGAAGAGTCATAGCCCCATATGTCAGACTCTTACGAAAAAGCAAGGCGACCTTAGATGAGAAAACAAAGGAAAGCAAAAAGTTCAGTTTTTACTTGCAAAACAAACCAAGTGTGTTATTGCACGACCTTTCCTCATTTTTATCTGATAGTGTGGATTTAGCTTCCGTATTACAGGAGACAGCAAAAGTACTGAAACTTATTACTAAGGCTTGCGGTATGTATTTAAGTTGGATTGCAAATTATTTTTTGAAAAACTGGGAAGTAATTCCATAACCATGAGTTTCAGAAACATTAATCGTTTATATTTTTTCATTGAAATGGCATACGGAAGGTTTATATTATTTTCGTTGCTGTAGGTGTGATATTGTACATGGTTGACACTGCTTCAGAAGAAATATATCAGGTGCCTAAAAATGTGACTGATGAAATTCATAGAGTCAACTGGAAGATTCAAAAAGGAAGCACTGTAGCAGCTTATGTGGCATTAAAAAAGGAATATGTATTAGTAGAAGACATTCTTGTAGATGAACGGTTCCCAGCAGGACTGGGTTATCAAGGCACTCAAAATTGTGTAATTTCAAATAAAGTTGCAAACTATTTACTTATTGTAGATGATATGGTGAAGTCGGTGCTCTGTGTTCCTATTGTAGCAACAGATGGAGACTGCTATGCAGTCGTCGAAATGTACAGAAATGTCCCAGAACCTCCATTTAACAAAGAAGATTTGAAAATAACAATAGTGATGGCAGGTTGGATGGGCGCTGCCATTCATCAAAACCGCCTCAGATTGGCCCTACAAAAGCAGCAAGAATTAAATGATTACTTGCTGGATTTAACTAAGTGTTATTTCGCGGATAATGTTCCACTGGAGAAATTGATCACCGAAATAGTAGTAAGTTGAGCTAGCATGTGAGCATAAATCAGTTACTAAAACTTTTTATTTACTTAGAAGTTCGCCAAGACGACATTAGGCGCAGAACGTGGAAGTTTTTTCATCATCGATCCTGAAAGCGATTATATGACTGCTGAAGTCTTTGACGAAGGTGTTGATGGTGTTAGTACAACCATGCATAGAAAAAATATAAAAGTACGGCTTGCCAAAGACAGAAGTATCCCAGGACTAGTAGCGAGAACCGGCGCTACAGTTAACTTGAGAGATGCTTATAACGATCCTAGATTTTTTACTGCCGTCGAACCAAAGACTGGATTTATTACTAGATCTATCCTTTGTATGCCCATTGTTAGTGTGGATAATATTTTGGGTAGACAACCTATTGAGTAGCCTTCTGGACTCGTTCTCAAGGCTATCTTTTAGGAGTCGTTCAAGTAGTAAACAAGCTAAATGGTGTAGTTTTTACACCATCGGATGAAGACTTATTTAAGACATTCTCAGTCTATTGTGCTTTGGCACTGCATTACGCGAGACTAAACAACAAAATGATAAAGACTGTATGAACAATGAAAGACTTGTCTTTTGTTTAAAGCTATTATCTTTCTAGGGGTTGATTAACGACTCAAACTTGAAACTCCTCGGAATTCAAATTAAGCCGTGTATACATGATATCGATGAATTTGAAAAAAAGACAGATGTCCCCATTCCTGCTGGTTTTAATGAGTAGGTACCCCACAATATTTTTTCCTTTCGCGACATACTACGATTTCGTAAATTATGAAATATTTTTACTATCAATTTTCTTTTGAAAGATTCAATAAATTAAAAGATATGGTGGCGCAATAAGTGTGTCAAAGTAGTTGCTATGTCTTCATTATTTATCACTATTTTGAAAACATATTTTAATAGGTTTGCAATGTTTAATGTTTTTATCACAATGTTGCCGATTTGTTTCATTTTAAAAAATATTTCGCATCAAAGACTGTTTTGCTATTTGAAAGCAGTTTGCGACTTTGAATATGCCATAAAAGTTGGTGCATTAATTAAATGTATATTGCTTATTAATATAAAATGGTATAAAGAAGGAAAAACACATTTCAAAATATCTACCTATATTACAATAACTATATTTTATTATATTGATAATTAAGGATCTTTAAGGATAACTGAGCTGAAAAAATATTTGTCTTGTCTAGCTTTAGGTGGTATGTATCAATTGATGAAGAGCCGATAATGCCACAATTGATATTCTACATGATGAAGACAATCATAGATTTTAAGGATGTGAATCTATCCAAGCTAAGGGAGTTTATTTTAACAGTGAGAAAGTGCTACAGACCAAATCCATATCACAATTGGGAGCATGGATTTAATGTAGCGCACTGTATGTACAATATTCTAATAAGGAATAAAGATAGATTTACTGATGTAGAGGTATTATTTCATTTTCATATGGAAACAAGCACAATTTTTTTATAATTTTAGATTAGAACATTATTGATAGCGAGTTTATGCCATGATCTAGATCACGGTGGATATACAAATAACTTCCTGCAAATGACAGATGACACTCTGGCGCAATTGTATGATGAATCGTTTCTAGAGAATCATCATTATAGAGTGACTATGGCCTTATACCAGGTAAAAACGCAAGAATATTAAATAATTAAAAAACTGGAAAAAATGTTCTATCACGCACGCGCGTAATAGCTAAGTCAGATTCGGTTTATAGAAAATAACTGGTGACTTACCCCCACACTTTTACACACTAAGTGTCGGTGATATTGATTGTTAGGCATTGCAAGGTCTTATTGGTTTATTTTAAATGGCAGGTTTTATATTGGTTGAAACCGAGTTTTTCTTGCTCATATGTATCAACATTTTTTTGATGTTGTCTTCAAAAGCCAATGTTTTTTTCTTATACATATATAAATATTGTACAAAGCACACATATTAAATAAAATATAAACTAAAACTATACAATATACAATACAACATTCTACAATATATATTGTGATAGATGTCTCTGAATGATTTATTAAATTTTATTTTTATGGAATTCCTATTATCCTGTGGCAAAATTTTGTTTGCATCAATGAACTGACATTGTGTTAAGGTAACGGGCCATAATACTAGCAAAAGACTAAAAATTAATAAATCATTTATCTGAATTAGCTTTGTAACTTTTGCTGCAGAATGAAATTATCAAACTGATATAAGTCTTGACTAGCATTTTTATTACACATTTGGAATAATATAATAAGAATAACACCACTATTGTTGTCAGGTTTTTTTCATCAAATACTTTCAGCTATTAATTGATGGTATTATTTTTTTTCACATATAACAAAAGTCAATGAAATACAAATGAAATTTTCCAAAAATAAATACAAATACACAACGATACTGATTTTAAAACTTCCATGTTCTGCCGCTGTCATACAACTTTTCTCCCACTTTGTTGACCTGACTGTTTATTATTCGTGTGTGGTGAAATATGAAATTGTTGTCCTAGCTGTATACATTTTTCTTCAGATTTGTCCATTTTATGAAATTTCAAACAAGCTATTCCAACTGATCAACATAGAAATGAAACAAGCAATATTGTCAACCGATTTATCTTACTACTTCCGAGCACGCATGAAACTGATGCAAATACAAAACCAACAAGGAATTGATTGGTCTGATAGACATCACAGAACACTGGTGAAGGCAATTATGATGACAAGTTGTGATTTATCGGGATCCTGTAAACCTTTCCTGGTGGCTAAGATGATCACTGAAAAACTTTACAGTGAGTCTCCTACTCTTGCTTTAACGCTAGTTGATTTCAACACTTTGACCTAGAGGAATTTTATTACCAAGGGGATAAGGAAAAAGAAATGGGTCTAGTTCCATTGTCTATGATGGACAGGGATAAGTCAGCACAAGTACCAGAAGATCAAGTTCAATTTCTGTCTGTAGTAGTGTTGCCTTGCACAGATCTATTAAAATCAGTATTTCCTAATTGTGAAGATTTAAGTGCGGAAGCATTGTAAGTACAAGTACAAATGAGACCCTTTTAGAGCTTCTTGCATAAAACATAATCCAATTAATAGCCCATTTTTGTCTATTTTTAGACTTCTTAGAAAAACTTGGCAAGAAATAATTAACTTAAAGGGACAAAAATGTTGGAGGCAAGATGATTCCATTGTTAATCCAATTGACTGAAAAATATTAGCACATAAATAAATTTATTTTTTGAGTAAACAGTACATAACTTGCTTTTTATATTATTGATCTACTTACACTATAAACTTAGTACTTACAATATGAACTTATTGGTAAAACTGGACAAATTTTGCTTAAAATATATAAACTAACCAGAAGGATACCAAGTATATATAAAAAACAAAATATACAGATCTTATATCATAATGTTAAAACATTCTTAAGATAGAACATGCTGATACACACATTTAAATGTGAACAACTGAAATATAAAACCAAAATCACTGCCTATAACCCTTTTGATAAACTGGACTGATTTCTTTAAGTATTGCGAATTTTTCCTGGAACATAGTTCTTATCAATTGCGGGTTCCTGCAGGAACATATGTAGGCATCTTTCATTTTGGGCAAGTGGATGGCCAGCAATCCTGAAAAATTTAAAGGATATTATAAACTTAGAAAATTAAACCAGATGTTGCTTACTTATTTATAAACACCTCGAGACCTTTCCGTCTCTCTTCAATAAACTCCTCTTCAAAAATTCCATCATCTCCACGAAAAGGTAACTGGCGTTTCCAAGCTTTCCCTGGCAATGGAGGCACTACAATTTTGCTATCCCTTTCCAACTCATTTCGCAACCATTCAAAGTCGCTGTACCTTCGTCGCACGCTTGATTCCTTAACTTTAAACACGGGCAAGTTGGTCTAAAAAGGAATGTTATTTATCACATACCATTAAAAATTTTGGAACTCTTGAAATTTGAATACTCATTTAAGAAATAACTTACTCTCATTTTAACCTCGTAATCTGTAAACCTTTTTTTACCAACTCCAATAGTTGTTACAGGGTTAACTACATCAATTTCTAAGAAATTTGCAGGGGCTGCGTACGCGTCGTCCAAGGTTTGTTTTTTTACGTTCAGTCGTTTTGTTGCTTCCACGGTCGTATCTGATTCGGCCATCATTTTAAAAATTCTGGGATCTGAGTTTTTCCTAAAGATAAAACGTGCATGGATTAAACGCTCGATGTTTTTCTTTTTTGTGTGTAAAATCCCGATCGGAAATACACCTACCGTTTCGTGACATATGTCAACGGAACATTGAACCCCAGAAAGATATTGGTAGGTAAGAGATTCATTTGTTATGGTTAGTTAGGGTATCAAAGACTAAGCGCCGTCATACACTTATTTTTATATTTATAGCGATAAATTTCCAAAAATTTTGTATCAAATTAAGATAACATTATCATCATCAACATAATGTGGTTAGTAATGTAGTAATTTTAAGTATTATTTTTTCCAATAATTTTTCGCTTGGAGTAGTTGTTTGTGTATAGTGAAAGGCCATTAGCTAACAAACAACTTATATAATTCCCAGAAAATTGAAAGATCAATCTACAAGTTTAGCTGTAATGTACATATAGAAAGAAAATGACGCAAGGGTTAATGACCAGTTGCCTGACGCACTGCATCTCCAATCTAAAGATCGAGTACACATTAGTACATTGTTTCGTGAGTGTCTAAACCATTTGTTATCGATAGAGAAATAACGCACGAAACTTGTCTCCATACTCACCTGGTTTACCATCCATGTCCAAAATTTGGAGTAATTCTGGAAAGTGGCCGAATAATCATATTCTCTTAGCTTTAAGATTTATGTTTGATCCTGACAAACTTGGCCGATAGCAGTAAAGAAGATGAAAGAAGTTATAAGAAAAAAAAATTGTTTAAAAAAAATGAGTTGTTTTTTTTTGCCCTAAAACAAGGTAAATTTTGATAGCTTCCAATCAAGTCATTTCACGTCATGGAAACGGAAATCAGCACAAACACTTCGACGCGGTATAAATCACAATAATTATTTTAATATACTTAGGTTAATATATTTTTCTTTAGGTTGGGAATATGCGAAGTTTGTGGGTTTAGGGATGCCAGATACGCCTGTCCCAAATGTGAGGTAAAAACGTGCTCACTAAAATGTGTAAAAATCCATAAGCTCGAGTTAGAATGCGATGGATTTCGCGATCGTACCAAATTTGTTCCTTTAAATAAGTTTACAAATTTTGATCTCTCTGGAGATTATCGGTTATTGGAAGAAATCTCACGAAATGTGGAAACAGTTAAGAAGAATTTTCGTCAGAATTATTCCTACAGTAACAAAAATACGGTGACGTTTATTAACCTGCTCTTTCATATTTAATTTTATTGCTATTTATACAATTTTTCAGAGATTATATGGTTTGCGTAATGCAGCAAATCAAAGGCAAACAACTATCAAATTTCTCCCTGATAAATTTGCAAGGCACCGGGTCAATAGTTCCCATGTTCATTTCAAATCCAACATAATTTATTGGCATATTGAATGGGTGTTTGTGAATTCAAATGTTCAGAAGATATATGATCAAAAAATATCTGAAAATGAAAAGCTAGGAACTGTTTTGAGTAAGCATCTTATTAAACAGGAGGTGCCAGAGCTTCAAGAGAAATTACAATATTATCAGTCAGCTGGTATATCAGGATTAAAATTATTCCTGAAAGCTGAGCAAAAATCAGGGAAGAAGTTTTATGAACTTGATCCCACAATGACCATTAAGGAAGGCCTAAGGAAGAAGATTATTATTGAATATCCGACAATTCATGTTGTTTTTAAAGATCATTCTTATGGTTATTGTGTTATTGATTCTGGTAAGTAATTGGATTTTTAACCATATTAAAAGTGAAAATATGGTTTTTTTTAGATGATGAAGAAAGTAACAATGGTAATGATGTAGTTAATAAAATCATAAAAAAATCAGAAAGTGATGAAAATCTTTATAAATCTTTGAAGAATTTGTTATTTATATCTGAATATTCTGAAGAAGAAATGTCTGAATGAATGTGTGCGCTTGTATTTGGGAAATAATTGTTATTTTTATTTCATATAGTGGTTATTTTGATTTATTTGGTGTTATAAATTTGCAATTTTATCAAAAATTTATTAAAGAAAATCCATTATTTAATATAATAATATATGTGATGAAAATCTTTATAAATCTTTGAATAATTTATTGTTTATACCTGAATATTCTGAAGAAGAAATGTCTGAATGAGTGAGTGCGCTAATATTTGGGAAATAATTGTTATTTTTATTTCATATAGTGGTTATTTTGATTTATTTGGTTAGTTATAAATTTGCAATTTTGTCCAAAATTTATTAAAGAAAATCCATTATTTAATATAAGAAACAGTTTTTTTTGTAATGAGTCTCTACACAACTTAAACCAGAAACCTTGCTATCACAGTCCTATATATTAACCAGTACAATAAAATGCATTTTTTTAAAACCTATGAAATTTACAAAAATATAATTTACAACACCCAGAAATATAAAAACATAACAAAAAGAACAATTCCTCCAACAGCAGCTTTGACATACATGGATTTTGTGTTTAAAAATGTTGCATCCTTTTTGTACTTTTGAGTCAGCATTGAGAGGTTTTGAGTTTTTGTATCCAACTCTACAAAAAATTGGTGATTTTTATAGCAATGTTTTAGTGTATATTAAATGAATTTGTATTCATACCTGACAAGACTGTGCCTCTTTGCAAAACATCATCAATATTTTGTACCATTATTCTCTGAACATCGTGCAGCTGATTATTAATAGCATTTAAATTTCTTCTGGATCTTGAATCTGTAAACTGTTTTCTGGCTTTTTGAATGTAAGTTTCAAATTCTATAAAAGTATAAGGTCTTGTAACAGCATTAACCCTGCTTCCATATTGTGAATGAAATTCTTGTGCAATATCCTCTAAGTAGGAATATGCTAATCTTTTTGAGTAATTGCTTTCACATAGCACTAAATAACAAACGTCATATTCGATTAGGTAACTGCAAGTAAACATAAATAACAGTAGTTTTTCATAGCAGCAAATAATAGACATACTGAAAGAAATAAGGTCCTGTTTCTATAGTGCATCGAGGAGGGGACTGGGGACCCAATTTTCTAAATAGCATTTTCGCTTGGTTTTGGTAATCCAATATATTTTTTCCGGACTAAAACAGAAAACAGCTAATAATACATGAAATGAAATGTTTTTTTAAATTGGGAACATACTTGTTCATCTTCCTGCATAGTTGCACATAATGGTAGGCCATCTGCCACTCGGGCAATCATAGTTATCAGAACCATGTCTCAATGGAATTATTGAACCTTATATTTGAAAGAAACGGCACAAACAGCAGAAAATAAGCTTAGTTTGTTGGTTACACATATTGTGACATATTTTATAACTGTAAGAACACGTCAGCCGCCAGCTGCTTTTCTTCTTCCTTATTCCAAATCAATCAAAACACCACGGCCAAATCCTAGGTAAGTTTCTCCTTGTCATTGACAAACAGCGGGAAGTTTAAACTCTAAAAGGTCAATGACTATTTCATATCTAATGAATGTTTTGCTATAACCTGCTATGACCTATTAATGGCTGGGTTGTTAAAGTAGCAGATGTACGATCATACCATACACCCACTAGACAAAATGTTCTTTTGTTAGTTTAATGAAATTAGTCACAATTGAGTTCGCGTCATTTTCGTTTGGGAACCAGGGTTATACGTTTAGCAAAGCAATTTGGATGTTCTTTTGCCACGGCTTTATTATTAATCGGAAATCGATTAACAGATAACATTTTCCCATTTCGTTTCATTTTAGTTCTGAAAATTGTATGCGGAAAAGACATTTCAAATGTAAAGTGTGTCTTAGGTTAGTCTAAGGCGAACAGGGTAGCCAAAACAAAAGGTGAGGGCTATTTCAATTTTTGTTTGTGTCCACTTTTAGATTTTCATCCATCTTTAATTTTATGTCATTTCTAAATTTGTATTTTTAAATTAATATTTCCATTTGTTTAACATGTATGACAGGTATTTTAATCATAAGATTAATACGTGATATTTGTATTCGGTATTATTTTAGGATACCATGTTAAAATCCTCTGTGCAAAGTCGAATTCTGAAGACCTTGCCTAACGATAGACCTATTACTGCAATACAAGTATAAATAATTTAGACTGTTTCTATTAAACATTTTGATTGAATGAACGGGATGTTTTAGATAGTAGAAAATTTAGAAAAGTGTCCTAGAGGATTCTACCCAATCAGTCGAACTTATGATCAGGATTCTGACGCAGATTTAGGAGAAAGTTCAATTTTTAAAAGTAGTACCTCCAGATATTTGTGTTTATCCAAAACTGAAGGAATTCCAAATTTTGTTGTTCAAGAGATAATAATAGTTAATCAAGGCACAAATCCTCCTAAGGGTTTTAGCCTTCTAAATCGAACTGCTGATAGTAGTCAGAAAGCTTGGAAGAAAAAACAGATTTGCTATCGCTTGGTCAACCAACAGGATCTTAAAATTGCTATTACTGATATCATAGTGTGTAGTAGACTAAAAAAGGCTCCCAGTGGGTTTCTTTTAGCTGGGTGAGTGCATTGAAATCTTACTTATAATTCTAAGGAATATCAATCTGGTGCATATATAAATCTATATAATTGTAGGGATCTTAATGGTATAACACTTTGCTATAAGATGGGCAATGTTCAGGACTCACAAGCAAATGATGCCAATCCTGCACCTCCTGAAAGACCTCCAAAGCCATTTTTACCACAGGGCCCATTATATCCTCCACTAGGTAAATTTGAATTAAAAAAAAGTGCTATTTACAAATTTGGTTTTAAATTAGGTGGAAATGAACATGACTATGAAATACTTAAGCCAGGTGGTGGGCCTGCAGGACCTGTAAGACCAGCTCCTAGACCTCCAGCACCTGTTCCTCCAGTAATGCCATATCAAAATTCAACTCACACTTTGGGTTATAGTTCTTATTATGGATTGGAAGGAGTACCATTTGTTATAAATCCCAAACTTTTAGAGTCATCTAATGGGACCAAAGTGAGTTGAACCAAGTAGAATTGAAAGCTTTGTATCAATTTGCATTTTTTTTTTAGGGGTTAACTATAAGAACCAAGACAATGCATCAAATAATAAAAGAGTATGACTACCCATTTACAGTTGAACGGGAGAGCCACTGAGTTTATTTTACATTTTTAATTTTTGCTGTGTAGTCATATTTGTGTTCAGTTCAAGTTCCCATGTGCTATATTGTTTCCCATTTATTTTTTACAAAATCTGCTTTAGATTTTAGATAATATTATTTTATATTTTTTAATTAAATCATATATAATTGAAACGAGGCAAGCCACATTTCGGAATTTCTTAGAAACAAAAATGGCCATATCCCTTATTTCATTATTACATTACTACATTAATTCTGGTTGCAGATATATTATTCATATTTACCAAATGATTGCAGTAAGAGAGGAATATAAAATTTTGCGGTTATTCGAAACATATATAAGTAGGGCTTGACCCCTTTTAACAATTTTATACTTCTGACTTTTATTTTGTACTAAGTTATGTTAATATATTGTAGAAATTTTAATCACAAATTTAAGAACAAAGTATTTTTATCAATACTGACTTTATTTATTTTTTAATTACCTTGTGTGAAGTTTAAAAAAAATATAAAGACTGATTTGGACACATTTTGGCTGTCTTTGTGGAGAGATGATAACGTGGTGCCAAAATATTGCATGAAAATGAAAGCGAATAAAATTATTTCGCTCTTAAGCAATGTCATTGCACAAATACTTTTTTGTAGTAGTTACCTGCAACTTTTTTTTCTGTTTTTTATATTTACATATGTTAGTAAGAAGGTCAAAAAGGGTCCCATGTTGGAGTTCACAAGCCTAAAGTGAATTGAATACTTCATCAAATTTTACGCAATGTATAGTAGAATATAAATTGCTAGACCACTTGTATAGCATCAAGTACTCCTAACAAACCCCAGTTTGCTTATGGTAAAGAGCACCATATCTTAATTATGTTTGGAAATGATTTCGCTATAAATTGACCCTTACTTTAAAACATAAAAATATCTATGGGCGTTAGTTAAATATAGAATATTTTAGTTACATTTATTAATTAATATGCTATTTAATGTAAATAAATAAAAAAAGAAATAAATGGTTTAAATAGTTCTTGATTTTTTTTAAATGAAGATTGTCATACTGAATGCCTGAGGACTTTTTTACTTTGGTTCTTACTGTTTGTTTGCGTTGCCAACGCTACGGTTAGCAGCCAACTTTGCAATTGATATCTGAATCCTTGCGCAAAAGCCTAATTCGGGTATTTACCAGATCCATAATTATTCTGGTTTCAAGAAAATTGAAGTTACCCTTGAGCGCAGGTCTGCTTAAAAACTTAACGCGTATATCGGGCAACGCTGCTAAGTATATCGCAGTACAAGCTAGAGTCGTTCTCGCCGCGTTAGTGTAAAACGACATTTTATATTTCGTTTGGCTTTCTATTTTTTTTTTCTGTTTTGCGCAAGTTTCAAGCGGGAAAAATATTGATTTATAATTTTCTCTTCTTGGTTTATGTGTGGTACGTTGCACTGTCAACAATTCTGCACCAGGTTCTTCTGCCCACTCTAGTTTTCCCTTTCATACTATTAGTTCCCGCCTATATCGCCGCTTTCAATTGTACTCTACCGGTGCACGATTGTTGCATCCAACGGATGGTTCTTTAATAAATACTCATAGAAAATATTGTTGTTTTATACCGCGAAAAGCTTAGGTATAGATAAAAACTCGAAGTATAAGTGTTCGTTCAAATATAAAATTTTTTTGAGAAATTGTTAAAAAAAAAAAAACAAAAAAAGATTTTTTAATACTCTCTAGCGATGTTTATGTGAAATTGTTTTAATAAAAATACGCTGCGAAAATATCAAAAAGCACCTGTATAATTCCAGAAAGTAGTTACGGTTTCTGGATTTTAATGTTTAATGTTTTCGTGGTCTAAAAAATGTTTCTCATATCTCCAGCTCTGCCGATGTGAAATTCGTGATTCGCGTACGTACTACTTTTGTTTAGTGACGTTTTTGTTAGCATATTTCAGTATGCTAGTTGAGTTGAGGGTAAATCAAACTTATCCGTGTGATTCATTATCGCTTATGAAAGATTTTCAAAACTGAAAGCTATCCAAAATTTATTTTTCAAACGTTATCACATGCTATTAAAGAAGGTACATGAAATAATCAGTCGTACTAACACGCATTCACGACTGCGAGTACTTGGGAATATTTCTTTTGAACTTCGGAATCTCCAGTGACAGATACGAGACCGGTAGCTGAATCCTGAAAAACATCACAAAAGTCAATTACTTAGGTAAATATTTAAATATTCAAATATTTTCTGACCTTAAATAAAAGATCTTTTTGTCCGTTAAAAGAACCAAAGAGTCTAAATAGATCGGGTCTCTCGGTGTACTCTTCGCTCACTGAGATTAGAGCATTCCTTAGTTCGTCTATTTCTTGAATGGTCTTAGAGTTTCTAGTAACAACCTGAAATTGTAGTATGTCCTTAAGTTACGTCCTAGTTTTCAGCCTCATTTCGTCATCTTCTAATATTATATGTGTTCATGATATGTAGTTATAATTGCGACTTTCAATTCTATAAAATAGTGGAACTTATTTCAAATGTCAGGAAGTGTCAGTAGTTCTCCACCAGCAAAAAAAAAAAGAATAAGCAAACTTAGAGTGCCTCATTAATGCGGGATTCTTTTATATTTCCAACAAGTTGCTTCAGTGCCTGTTAATACTTTCATTAAAATAGAAACTATGGAATAACGAGAAAACTGTTAAAAATAAGTATATTGATGCAAAAGTATTCATTTTTTTCAATTACTGTTTTCTGTAAAATATGGGTAAAATTTATTTTAGTTTTGGCTGTTTAATTTTTTTAATTTCGATCAAAATGCTTTTTTCAAAAATAATCGTAAAGAAAATTCACACTGACAACTAAGATAATTGAAATCCCTATTTTGAAAAAATCAAATTAGCGCTCACACAAATTACGAAAATTTCTACAAAAATACTTTTTCCTAATATCAATGGATATAAATAGTATAATATAAATTATAATTAAATTAAAAACGCAACAATATTTTGCTAATGGATAGGTATCAAAGATACGCGGCAATCTCTTTATGATCTGTTTATCTGATCGATATCATTAAACTATAGTTTATATTTAGTTTTGATCATCCAAATGTGCAGAAGAACCAACAAATTTTTGATATTTTTCAACACGAAAGAAATATATCATTTTTACCATGTGAGGTGGTGCCTGGAGCAAGTTGCATTTAGCAAAATCAGTGACCGGGGCTCGTCCACCTTCGGAGCAAAGCAACTCGTAGTCGGTTGATTTCAAGTTGAGCGCCCAGGGTTCCTTGTTGTTTCCATCTAAAAACCCAAATACCGCTTTATATCTCGTCAACATTTTCATGTCCTGCTCACCTGTGTTGCCTGGTACTGTGACGTGCTTGACAAAGGCCACGTCGCCACCACCTTGGACCAAGCATCTGAAAGCACCGGTGTAGCCGCTGAAAGCTTCAGTTTGGTCGAAGTTGCACTTAGTTGCTGGATTATTCTGATCCACGTCGCCCGTACACAACGAGCATAATTTCTCTGATACTTGGGAATCGAGTCCGAGACTACACAGGCAAATGCTAAATTAATAACATAACTAACACCGGCGCAATATTTACTTATAAAAAAAAATAATAACACAATTTTAATTTATAAAATACGAAATAACAAAAATGTTACAATTAACTTATGTAAAAGTTCTTTACCCTTGAATGTCAACCTTTCTTGTCCTTTCTCCATAATGGCGTTTTTGGTTCATTTCATTATCTTTATTTTTGACGCAAAAAACTTTTGTACAGAAAGATTACCGTCAAATTTAAAACCATATCATTGTTTTTCTTATTTATAAAAAAGAGATAATCGAATAAGGAGGTGTCAAATCTATATTATTGCACAGAGTGTTTATTAATTTAAAATTAAAAAATATATATTCGATCGATAAATTTTTCTTCCAATAATACAATATAAAAGCCTTAGGTACAGCTCCAAATAGTGGAAATAATAGAAGAGTTTTTGCATTAGAAGAACTATTTATAACTAACTAAAATTATCAAATTCATTCAAAAAATCTCCAAAGTAAAGAACTCTGGGAGATAGTTCATACCTAAGGTTCATATGAGTCATTCTCTTAAATATTTAGCAAATTATTAAGTGTCACCCGTATGCGGGAGTATGTAACGTACTTGACTTCTTTGGAACCGGGAAGGCAAGATCCTCCACTGAAGAACTCAGACAAGGCATTTGGATAAGGACACGCCTTTTTCTTGATTAACCCTTTGGAGATCAACGTGTATAGAGGCGCGTTGTAACCAGCGGTACGTCTTATGCCGGTATGGCATGATTTCTTGCCTCTGAGGTCGTCGAATGACTGAATAGTGGAGTCCTTTTTGACAACCGCAACGGCGTAATAAGAACCACCAGTCGGGCCGTATTGCTCTGCTACGATCGGTTTGAGATTGTAGTCTTTTTGAGCCACATCGACAAGTCCACCTGAAGTGTTTTTTTTTGTATTATTCTTGACTATGTTACTGATTAGTTGCCTTACCGTCCAAAGTGATAATATCAGCTCCGTTGTCTCTGATTCTAGCCATGCAGTCTTGCACCGTTGGTTCCAAAACGCAATCAAACCTGGGCCTTATATCTCTCGAGAAAGCAGATTTACTGAGCGCTCTACATTTATCTTCTTCTATTGTCGAAGTAACGCAAAATCTAATTGACTTGTAGGGTGGACCGTAATCTCTTTCAACGACATCTAAATAATTTAATATTTTCACTCAGTGAGTGACGTCGAGTGACCGATTAATAGATTTAGCGAACTAAATAATTTTCCAAATTTGGCATAAGGGTCTTAACAGGTAATGTAACAGGCATTTTGAAAGACATATTGGCATTAACACATATAGCTAGCTCCTACAGTTTTAAAATTGTAAGTGCTAGTCCGTTGATTTAATAATAGCGAAATCCACCCTGCCTCTAAAATCAATATTGGTATTATCCCTTACAAAGATTTAATGGTGGGTAATATGAAAATGTAAAACTAATCAATGATTTTTTAAAAAGCGCAAGATCGGACGTAATACAATACAATAGAATACGGAAATAGAAAATAGCTGTAAAAAATATAATCGAACAGAAAAATAATACAAATTCAAAAAACTATTTGCTGCTATTGCTGACTATCACGTTAAAAAATCGTCCAAGATCCATTTTTTTAAAAGTAACTTTATGTATGTACTACTGTATGGCTTAAATCTCTATAACTTCCTAATTTACAAGGGGTATTGCGCAATTGAAATTGAAATTATCAGACAACAGCACCATCGAATTAAAGAAAACGCATCACCATAATTCTGCTTTGTGAAAACTATTTTCCAAATTATCTCTGATTTAGATATTGAAAATAATATTTATTCTTTACATTTTTAAAGCACCTTAAAAGTACGAACTGATGCTGTGTCCTACAATACCGGTGGTCAGGTGTTTTATTGTAAAAAAAATCCAATTTCATATGCAATATCAAATTGTAACAGCAAAGACCTCCCCACCCCTTGACTATAGCAATAAACATTCTCTAAAAGAAAAGTGTTTGCGAGAAGGCCCTATATAAATCATGTTACACATAATCATATCCAGTTCGACAATGATCTGAAAGAATAGACCAAACAAACCACAATCGAAGGTGCAGTTTAAACATATTACAAAATTATTGTGAAAGCAAATTTTGTTCTGTAAGTAGTTTAGATTTTATTAATTTAGTGTGGGTGTATATCCCTAATTTAAGTAAGTTAGGTTATTCCTTGTTCTATGGGAATGTGAAAGAAGTTAAAACCTCTCGTTTAAATAAGCCGGTTTACCTGATTTTATAATTCTATGAACAAACCTATGCATATGCAGTTTCTTTCAATTGCGCAAAATACTGAATTTGTTTTGTAATCTGTAATCAGTGATTGAATTCAAGTGTTGCAAAGAAAATATTTTTTTGTTAGATTTAACAAAATTGCTTTAATGTTTTCTAAATTCAGCCTAGCAATCTGGTATAAGATTATTGTTTTCTAAATTTTTAGTATTTTGGTTGGAGATGTGTCGAATATTTTTGAAATAGCTTAGAGTACGCTTACAGGCCGAAATTGTTCCTAATCAATAAAAAGTGGCAAAAACGCAGTATTACCGGTGTAATTTGCCTTATCCAAGTATTCTCCGGGCGAGATAATTTTATTTTCTCTGGGCAAACCCTTGTCGTTGATTTCCAAAACCTTTTCCAACCACGCGGCGTGGTTTTTGCTACCGACGGCATTTAAACTTTCGATTTTCTTCCTTAGCTCGTCAACCGACTTGGCGACTTCGGTGTTGCTCATGTATCCTTGCCACGGTCTCGCAGCCCACGTACAGGGTGTCTCAGTAACTGGAACTTTCGACCCGTCCGGACAAAAGTACGCGAAATTTTCAGGATTTTCTTGGGTGGGGACCGCGGGACTAACACCAACCGGCAACTATCAATCAACTATTAAGACGAGCTTTCGCCAATTTGCATCGTTCTACTTACGCCAAAGAATTTCCTAACGAAAATGACTTTGGTCCAAGCCACTTGGCCTCCGTTATGAGCTAAACATCGCAACGCGCCATCATACCCGGAGAACTTGTCCGGATAATCGCAAATCTCGGGATGTTCACAAAGTGCGCAGAGATTTGAGTATCTTCTCTCTAAAACCCGCTTCATTATTAGAATTGCTATTGTGGTTAACTCGGGGACTTACTCAATTTTAAATTGATCTTGGGATCCGGAGACCACTTGCCAACGATGCAGGCATTTTGGAATAGCGTGGAAAACGCTTTCAATTCGTTTTCTCTCGGTGATAATTCCGGCTCCGCCAAATTACCGATAAGGCCCATCTGCTTCAATTTCGTCAGAGGTATTCTGTAACCGACATTTCTGCCGACACCGGTGTGGCACGAGTTCAACCCTCTTAGTCCTTCGACGTTCGATACGTTCAAGTCTTTGTGAACGACAGCCACTGCTTCATATCTAAATTCGGCTGGAAATGTATCGAGAGGATGAATGTATTAGTAGTAGATTGATAGCGACGACCTACCATCCGGTTCTTCTTTGGTGCGGATTTCCTCGAAAATTGCAAAATCGCCACCCGGTTCATTTTTAGCCACGTACATGTCTTCCGGGTCTACCGTCAAGAAATCTGCTAACTTCTCTTTGATTTTTGTTATGCATTCTATCCTGAAATGTTACGAATTTGTGTAGTCCTTATATCAAAACAATATTTTTATTTTAATGTTTTATTTGACCTAACTGACTCTATGTATCAGTGTTTTCTAAAGCAATTATAGTTGTGTACCGCGATATTTAAAATCTATTACTGAAGCACTTAGTCTCGGAGAAGTATTTTCTTTCCCCATCATACACCATGATTTTATAATACGCCTCTTTATTTTCATAATACATACGAAGACGTTTTAAAACTTCTTCAGTTATTCGTTTATTAAGCACTGTTTGTTGTGTTTGTCAAAACTGTTGCATAATGTTTTTAAATTATGTAAATTATATAGGGGCTAATAAAACTGTAGAAAATGTTGGAACGATAAAATTTAATACCTGGAAGTTTTCCAACATGCAGAATTCAAAAATTCAGTAGTGTTGTCAGAGTTATTACTCTCATCACATCCCTGAATTGTGGAGGTTTTTGAACATAGAAAACTTTAGAAGCGAAAGGTTACAATCATCGCAAAATCTGCTATTAACATTTTTGAATTTTGCTTATTCAAAAACCCACGGGTATCGTTGCAGCTTTAGCAGTTTTGGAGATAATTCACGGTACCTTTCAATAACCTGGCATATATGCTTTTGAAATATTCAAAAGATTTTTTTGTATAAATTTCTTCCGAATAAACCTTGTTCACAGTTAAAATTTTCTGGATTTATGGTGCCAAATCAACTAAAATAAAATTTGGTTTGGTAGACCATCTCAACGGTTTGATACATTTTTGGTAGAATTATTAGACACATAATATTGACACTAAAATTGTAATTATTTTTGGTGCTTATATAGATTTGCTTTATTATATTTGCTCGCTTATTTTTATATTTTTGCCAAAATAAAAAATACAGTTTTTCTCTCTCCCACCATGCTAGACTACCCGAACACCGAAGTTTGTTAAATTCCTGCTTAAAGTGTAAATGCCTGTAAAACTAAGATACTGAATCCAAATTATTCCAGTTTGGATTTATAATAACTTTTATATCACACTTTGCACTAAGCCGGTTGTTGCCAACTTTAATTTAATTCAAAACTAATGTTACTATTAGAGTCTGATAAGTTCGCGAGATATTTTTGGTGTATGTTAAGAAAAACAGGTATGTATCAAAAATTGTGAAAATGGTTGATTTGATGTTAATGACTTTATTATTATTATTTTTACTATTACTCTTAAACAGTGAATAATTTTATGATGGAGTTTGGACAAAGCAGGAATCTACCGTTAATCCGAGAATATCTATCTACATTGTACATATAATTAAATTATATAATAATATATTACTAACCAAAAGTAACCAAAAAATTCCGCAATCTGTTTAATTATCCTTTATCCTTTGTTTATTTTATAATTGTATATTCTTAAAAATAATTATATATATATATATATATATATATATATATATATATATATATATATATATATATATATATATATATATATATATATGTAAATGTATATATATATATATATATATATATATATATATATATATATATATATATATATATATATATATATATATATATATATATATATATATATATATATATATATATATATATATATATATATGTATATGTATATATATATATATATATATATATATATATATATATATATATATATATATATATATATATATATATATATATATATATATATATATATATATATATATATATATATATATATATATATATATATATATATATATATATATATATATATATATATATATATATATATATATATATATATATATATATATATATATGATGACACTATACTCCGGGATATCATCTGTTCGTTCGTTGAACTCCGACTGGAATCCTGCAAATCCTGCATCCGACTGGAATCCTGCAGACGTTTCGCCAAAATCTCACTTGGCATCTTCAATGCTCGCGCTCCGAAAACACTTCGAACACTCGGAGCGCGAGCATTGAAGATGCCAAGTGAGATTTTGGCGAAACGTCTGCAGGATTCCAGTCGGATGCAGGATTTGCAGGATTCCAGTCGGAGTTCAACGAGCGAACGGATGATATCCCGGAGTATAGTGTCATCACATTTTTCCATCCGTGAATCAATACGTGAGAATATATATATATATATATATATATATATATATATATATATATATATATATATATATATATATATATATATATATATATATATATATATATATATATATATATATATATATATATATATATATATATATATATATATATATATATATATATATATATATATATATATATATATATATATGATATATATGATTATTTACCCATTTAAGATTTTTCCGGACCATACTATATAAAACTCCAAAATTCTTATGTAAACTATTATACCTTTTTTAGTTATTTCTTTATAACTTAATTTTGTTTATTGATAATTGAGACCTAAAGCTATTGAAAATATACTAAAGATATAGAGGCATAATTAAAGGATCGACTATTCAGTGTTGCTTAGTAAGCAAAATTATTCAACGCCTTAATAAACAATTTCCACATTGAGTTTTATCCAATATTTCATTATAAAACTAAAACCACTTCCTTCCTCATAAAAAAATGGTGGAGCGTGATAATATTTAAAGTTTAAACTTGTCTTAGAGAAAATTCTTCAAATTCTTAATAATGACAGCAAAAAATTGTGGAAATGTTTAATTTAAACATAGAAAAATCTATGAAATTTTATTAATGGTATCGGTCGTCTCATGAGAGAGTAAAGTAAGTAAAGAGCAAATTTAACTTTAACAATAACCGCGAAATTTGGTATACGAGTTGTGAACCCTAAAATGTGATAAAAACTGGACTCTTGTACTTTTGTTCGTTGGTCAGTTTTATTTTCTTTATGATTAAGTTTCGTTATTTAATTTATTTTCTTTTGTAATTTGTTCAATTTCTTCAAGATGAGCCGCCTATGGAACGATACTCATAATTGCCGAAATTTACATATCTTCGTTTTTTTGGCCTAAATTACATTTTAAACCCTGACTATATTAACTGATTTGTTAACGCCGACATAATCAACGGCCAGCATTGGATTGAAAAATATCAAAACGTTTTCAGCTAACGTTAGCAGAACCAATAATATACTGTTTACTGAGACAACAAGATAAGAACATTGTGTCTGCAAAGGAAGACTGCGCGATGCATCGGTTGGAAAGGTCATACAATACGAACGAGTGGGTATATAATTAGTCCAGGTTGTCCTTGAGTATTCGAATTTTAATTCAATGTAAATTGTTTATAAACCTTTTCTATAATTAGCTCCTGCTTCTTTTGGTCGCTACACAACTTGTTTAAGAAGATGCAGTATAAGTTACAAACTGATTCTGAAATAGGTGAAAATAAAAATGCAAAGAAAAAATTTTAAGGCATATCTAGAAATCGACAAGTGCCAGTAAATTGCAATAGAAACGCCAACAAGTTTTTTACATAATTTTGTTAATTGAGTATTCGTATACATACCTATCCCTCGCAGGAATACAAACAATCTTTACAGTGCTCTTGGTCTCCTGACTTGCCATTTCGTTGCACAGATCTATGAGATCTTCCGGAACACACATTTTGTCTGCAAACGCACAGAAAATGGTACTCTAAGATCTCGTCATATATTTTTTATTAGGCTATTCAGAAATACACAATAAGGAAAAAAAAGTGAGAAACTATATTTATTTCCTTTCAGGATTATCAACGAACTTTACTGACCATATTGAAAAATAGCCTGCTATTCACCCATCACTTAAAGTAACCGTGCAGGAACATACAAAATAAATTTTATGCTTTTATGATTTATAATACGAATTATTAACAAAATTGGAAACCACGCATTTCAGCTTTCTTTTTGTACACACTTAGATCATTGCGGTTTCTGGATAAGAAAGCTGACTGTTTGCATTTATCTCCTGTGCATTTTGAACAACGAAGAAAGAAGAAGAAATTTTTTAAATAACTGTACAGGACTAAATGTTTTTAAAAAGCACACATTATTCTCAATCACACTAAAAGAGTTTTATACAAGGGGCGGTTAATAGGTTGTTGATAATTTGTTTAATAGAAAAAAAATAGAAAAGATTGAGACACTCTGTATATGCGATTTTTCGTTTCACAAAAAATGCATACCCTGTATCGAAAAAGTGTCGGACGGACTTATCAATATATTATCATTATTTATTGAAAATCGAAAGGCAAACATTTAAAAATATTCTGAAATACATTTTGCATATATATGACACCTAGATTTTTTTATTCTTAATGCAATTTTGTAAATTTTTCTATGATATCCAATATATTTCAATCTCGTGCCTCTATAATATTAAAAACTGACTTTAATTCAGTGGAATGCATTACGAAGGATTTATTAAAGCGTCTATGTAATTATCGAAAAACAGAATTTTCTGTCTTTATAGATAAGTGAAATGAGTGATTGATCATTATTTATTGATATTTTCCTTAAAATCGAAATAAAAACATTTAAAAATATTCTGAAATATTGCATTTTGCGTATATATGACACCTTGATTTTTTAATTTTTAATGCAATTTTGTAAATTTTTCTACGATTTTCAATATCTGTCAATCTCCTGCCTCTATAATATTAAAAATAGACTATAATACAGTGGAATGCATTACGAAAGATTTATTAAAGCGTCTATGTAATTATGCCAAATTCTTGAAATCTTAACGAATTTTAAACTGTTTATATAATATTTATAACTTCTTTATAGTGTTCAGCTGCTGTCACATTTGTTAAGTAAATAGGTAATAAATATTTCACTTTAACAAAATTCGATGCTAGTGCATGAAGTGAGTTAACGGAGACGCGAAAACATAATAAACATACTTTTTAGGACTATAATAAATAAGAGTATAAAATAGAACCTTGAAAAACTTTTCTTTAGAAATAAAATTTTATCTATATTCGCATTTTTTAACTAAAAATTATGCGTCCTTCCTGAACTAAAAGTATGAATGTGAAATCTATGCCTAGTTATTTTGATTTTAATTAAGTATGCAAAATAAACGGTTCCATGGGTTTCACGCAGTTATCTTATTATACTATAATTGAGCGAGAATAATGAAGAAATTGCTTTAAAGTATACTAAAATCCGATTTTAGACCGGGTTTCTTCCAGGATCGAAATGGATTTGAGAAATATAGAAACCTTCTTTGTAATATTTGTGGATGTGTGTCATCGAAAATTTACCGACAGCCAAGCAGATTTAGCTGTCTAGAATCCATCAAAACAATCGTATTCACACACTATTATTAATTTGTATTCCAAACAAACAGAACGATTCACTTAAGCGACAAGTGAAAGTTGAGACCTGCAAGATATTTCACGCTATCGTTTTTAATATATAGATCCTGCTTACACATATTCTTTGCAGCTCTTCTGTACCTCGCGAGATTTCTTCCGTTGACGGACTGCAACACCGCCACAGCAAACAATAACAAAATCAACTTCATCTTCGCCGGTTGGCAATGAAACAATTTCTGCAAATACACTGACTCGTCTCTGTTGTGCCCGGCTTCATTTATACATATTTATTAGCAACAACATAATCGTGACGTTGGTCAAAACCGTATCACCATGTAGACTACGGGGTGTGGTCGGGATGGTAAATCCCCACCGTATGTGTATGCAAGTAAATTAGTTTATTGTTTACTTCTAAATCGGCAACGGTATCAAATGGCAACAGAAATTCCCTTGGGTCAATGGGGGGTCAAGCGCCAGCACATAAATCTAAGCGAAAGCCAAAGGTCTGATCATTGAAGGAAAGCCCGCATGATAAACGATTTGTTGTCAAGTAGTTTTTTGTTCTCGATCTGCAGATTCAATAATTGACCACATTTTATGAAAAAGTAATTAGGTCAAATCAACACTTATATCTCAATTCCTAAGTATAGCCTCATTACTCGTAATTAATATATTCTTGTAATATTAAGAAGTACGTAAATGTTTATATATTTACATTTTTGTTTTGTTATATTTAATTGGCAAATTAAATGTTTGTGATGGATCAGAACGGGGTATTTATATTTATATATAAAATGTATATGGTTATAAGTAGAATTTTTTATTGATTGTAACTATTATGAATTCTTATTATTCCCAAATTATAAATAGAAATATGTTAAATTATGAATTCGTTATCAAGTTTTGGGTTACGGAAAAAAATATCGACCCTATACTTATTCAAAAATAACAACATCCTTTATTTACCTATTTTTGTTTTTTAGGTTCAAATTGATTAAAGCTATTTGTGCACTTTTTGAATATGAAAGAAAATAAATTTGGAAGATATTTCAAAATTTCCAGAATTTCAATACCGCACATAAGTTTGACTGTGGACTCGAGTTATTCAGCAATGACAGCGTGGGTTGGTTTTTGAAGATTACTTATTGATGCATCAAAGACTCATCGGTAGATTCGTGCAGACTTGACTGGTACTTAAAAGAGGACAAAAGGGAAGCCTGGAGTCGAGGTGATAAGACATAGGAGTCAGAGACAATTCAGTTAGTTCAGCGTAGCCGTTTGCCAAGTCAGCAACCAAAGGTGGATTGCATAGAGCATAACTTTAAATTCTAAAAAAATTGTATATTAACAATGAGAAAAATACGTTTTTAGCCACAACTGCTTTATTTAAATATAAAAATTTTACATTTCTAAATTAAGAGGACATTTTATGGCTCTCTAGTGCTATCAGATCTTACCCAGTTAGTAACAATAATAACAATAATTCGATTTGGAGTCACTAAAATTCAACATTTGCAGTTTTAATATATATTTTCTAAATTCGGAATAACTTTGGTTTTATTTTTTTTACTGATCTTATATTTTTAATAATTATTAATTAACTTAGTTAATTTGATACTAGTTTAGCATCAAACCAGAGAATTAAATGTAAGACTCGCCTTGGCTAAACTTATTGTTAAATGGTTAGATAGACAGTTCACATTAAATATGTGTTAGAATTATGAGTCTATCCATATTTTAACTAATTAAAAAAAAGGATGACAAAATGCTAAATATGAAAACAGATATAATTTTAAACTATAAAAACCACAGTCGATATCTTTCTGCAGAAGGTCTGTATATAACTTTATAACAATATAATATTAAACGCTATTAAGATAAAATAATTAATTAAATAATTTGGAGTCAATGGAATTACTTATTAGTTTATTATGGAACAAGTTTTATAAGCGACCTCAAGTGTTATATACTATGCTGTTTCTACGGCCATTGGTTTTTGGGTACGGGTTTGGGTGAAAATCAGAACTGAAAAACGTACAAATGAAGTCAGCGTTTTAAATATCAACCGAACACTAAATAACCTGGCATCTTTTCATTTTACTTCAGAAACTATATTTATTACATTATTTTATTGTTTGCCAACTACTATGCGAATAATACAGGCTTCAATGCAAATGCGTAAAGTGTTGTTCGACGTTTACAAAATGTTAAACATGGTAATAGTCAAGGCATGATATTCAGTGCGGTCTTTTGGGGAAACCCATTATAACCAAATTTAATCTTAATTCTCAACTTGGCAAGGTGATTTAATTACCCATTTAAAAGTTTACGGGTTTTCCGTATGTGCTTACTTTATTTGTGTTCGGGTGGACAAGCATTGTCTCCTTATTTATTTTCTAGTCTAATCTAATAATGAACTTTGAGTATTTATTGCGGTACTAGCCAAAAATAACCTCTCTAAAACATTATTTAGTTATTTTGCAAAATAAGACGAAAGCAGTTGAAAATTGTAATCTTAGTTCTCAATTTGGAAAGCTGCTTTAATAATAATTAATGTCCGTTATTCAGATTCAACGAGATTTTTTAATTATGTGAGAAATATCACAAACTCGTAACCAGATCGATCTTCCTTAATGTTGGGCATTGACCAATAGATTCGATCAGTCGATTCCTTTACAATATATATATATATATATATATATATATATATATATATATATATATATATATATATATATATATATATATATATATATATATATATATATACACAAATATAGCATTTCTTGAAAGAACAGGACACATGCAAAAAATATTATAAAAATGTCCATTTCAGCGAACCACTTAAAATTTTAGTTAGTTTTCCAATATACTGTTTTTTCATATGACATGAAGATTGTAGTACCAAATTACGATAGGAATATTTCCAAAATAATGCATTTTCGGCTAATTTATTATTTGGCTGGATGTATTATCTACCAAAATTTATTATTATTAAATTATTAGCTAAATTTATTTATTTATTCTTTCAACGATTACAATATTTTGCAAATTTGTCTTAAATATTAATAATCTTAAACCAGGATATAATAACAAAAAGAAAATAACAAACTATGGACAGTAAAAAACTACATATCATTCAGATGACAGTACCACGAATCAATTTAACAAAATTTGTCTTAATTTAATTTTAAAGCTATTTAAAGGAACACCGAGGTAATAAATGATATTGCATTGATTTACAAAGTAGACCAGCCTATTACTCAGTACAGGAGACAAAAGTTGACTTCCTCTCAATTCTCTAGAAGGGATAATTAAGCCTGACAATATACAAGAAGAATCAATAGCACCATTTATCACTCGAAACACAAAACAATCCAGAAGTTTTCTACTGTCCTCGAGAGTAGCCAGTGCATGAAGCCCCATTATATACGTAACATACTTTGAAAACTTGTTCTTTACAGTGTTTGTGAATTTCGTAGAAAGGAGACCAGATTGTTGACCCATGCTCCAAAACAAAATGGACATATGAACTGTAATCCATGACAATACATCCCAAATTCTCAAAATCTCCAGATATTCTCCGCACCAGATCCAACATACGGTTAGTGCGGCTAATGACATCCTCAAAGTGCCGCTCAAAACGTAATAATCCATCTATAATGATTGCTAAATCCTTTATTAATTGCACTCTCTTCAACACACACTCATCTATTCTATATGAGCAATCAGCAGGATTACGTCGAAAGAAAACCATACAGGCACATTTTAAAATATTTGATCTTTAATTGTTCATCCTATACCACTTCGCTAGCGAATTAATACTTGTAGCACTTTACAATCATCAAATGACCGTATACAGGGGGAAATTTTTAAATCATGTGCAAAAAATGAATAATCTGACTCCAAATAATGGCCTATATTTTTCACTAGAAGAAGAAACAGCCCAGATGGCATTCCTGAGGCACGTCGGATATTACATCTATGTTGGGGGAGAGACAACGGCTGAACTTGACCTGTACGGCCCTAGAGATAGCTTGATAGCCACGTTAGAAACTCACCTCTAATAGCAAAGTTTTGAAGTTTGTTCAGTAATACTCATTCCAGCAAATCAAAGGCCTTACTGAAGTCAGTATATACGGAATGCACCTCACAGCCATTATCCAGGGCCCCAGCGACCAAGTTAGTATAAGTAAAAAGGTTCATCACAGTATAATGGCTATTTACGAACCCATGCTGCAGCTCAACAATGATATTAGAGAAGACTCCGTCCAGCATTGGCAAACTCAGTCTGGCTGATTGTAGGAAAATAAGGTTGCACTTGGTAATATCGCAGTTATAACCATTTTTGAATATAGGGGTGTTTCCATCTCCCTGGGAATATGATTAGATTAGGGATTTATTAAGTGAAAATAATAGCGGCTCACACAATGATACGGCACATTCCCTCAACAACAGGTTTGGTATCAGTATAGTATAGGTATTATTGGTTATCTGTTTAGAGGCCCTGACAGTTTTGTTTGGAGTTAGAGCATTAGACATTAAAGCTAATTGGACTACAAATATAAAAAGTCTTCATTCTTTTCATGCTTTTTCAATTGTTCGAAACATCAGCTGATTGCTTACTTGAGCTCTTTTTTAATATCTATTTTCTTTATATTTCTACATGGCATGGGCGTATTGTCTTTTAGATAATTCAGATGATGCCAGTCACTGACAACAATAATATAAAAGTTTTTTCTTTAAATATCGATATCTTTCGAGATAAGATGATTATTTAATTTGTGTTTTTTAGCTCCTTATTCGGCTCGTTAAATAAGTGGTGGCACTTTTCCCCCCTTTCTTTTCTATAGCAATATTCTCGGGTTGCTATAATTAAAAAAAAACTACATATAGCTGGATAGTTAATAAAATTGGACCGCTACCTTCGACTCACCTTTAAAGCTACTAATGCAGCTAATAACGATAATTAATGTCTTTATAAAGAAATATCGTGTCATAAACAGGTACAGCATCTTAACGAGTGCCCGCCCTACGACTCCAACTAATGCTCGCCAGATGCGAGTAAAACGCTTAAATGTTAAATGTCTTAATTCCCGCATCGCTTTTTCTGAGAAAAATGAACAGTACAAATCACCGACGATTTATCAAAATGTATTAAAAAGATATTCTGGTTATAATGAGAGTTAAATTGCATTTTTCTACTCCCTATTCAAAAATATCCAATTACGCACTAAATATGCATGGGTATGTTGCCCCTTGGTTTGGAACCGATATTTTCACTTTTGTCAATTTTGACTGTGACTTGTGACGTGATCGTTAAGTGATGAAAACATTGGATCGCATCCAAACCCGTGATTAAAGTATCGGAAATGCCCGAAGTGGCTCCTGACAGCTGATTAATAAGCCTGACGTTTTAACTATTTTAGAGTAAGGAGTACATAAAATAAAAAATTTACAAAAGGAAAGCTAAGGGTAAAAAAATAATTTTTTTTCGCTATAGTTTTATTTCAGTTCCGCTTTTGTTACTTTCAAAAATCGATGAAATCCAATTTTTCGAAAGTATCTAAGCTCGTATAAAAATTTTATATCTCAGTAAAGGTCAGTCCTACGGGATCGCTGTTGGTACAGAAATTACCGTCGAAAAAAAAAATTTTTTTGTGTGTCCGTTCTACGTTCTCGACGTTTGGTTTTTCCTGAATAACTTGCGAACCGTTGGAGTTACAAAATTGAAATTTGCCTCCTTTTTAACCATCCACGAGGCACATAAGTTTATAAGAAATGGCCGGTATCCATCCTTTTTTTCGCGATTTTCGACTGTTTTTTGGACCTTGCTATGAAACACTATAAGTGTCCGAAATTTGAAGCAATCGACTTCATATTTGGCACGTCTATGCAGCTTTGCCCCGTGAGCATTTTAAAAAAATTAAAAATCGCGTGTGCAAGGGTCTACAAAAAAGACCATTTTTCAAAAACCGTTTACAAGACCGAAAAAATTCTTGAACCAGCAGACGCAGAGGAAACGATTTCATAAATTTTTATTCTTGACAATTTTCAAAAATATACAGGGTGCGCCGCAAATTCAAAAAAATTGAAAAATGAGTCCCCCTATTATTGAAAATTGGCAATAATTTCAAATCTGTGTTTTAGATGTCAGTTTCTTTTACATGACGATATAGCCCATATAGAAAGCTTAAACTTATGTATTTACGGTTTTTAAGTATTGTACGGGGTGTTCGCGATATTCCGTGCAATATTAAAAAACATAATAAGTACTCCAAATTTGCAGCTACCGACTTCAGACTTGGGAGGGAGGTAGAAGTCTGGACCCGCATATAGACTCTTTAAATTGGGAGCAATAAAATAACGCGAAGTATTTTTTTGTAATTTTTGTTTATTTTTGTGGTTATTTTGGCATCCAGAAAAACAGCTTTTCCTCCAAAGCCATTCATCCGATCGGAAAAAATGTACATCCGTAATACGTGGGAGACCCGGCGCAATAACTTTTGTTTCATGCAATTTTTCGATTATATACAAGGTGTTTTAGTTATGGACAAAAATCTAAACGACCCTGAAAATTGTTCTTTTAGAGAGTAAATTATTAACGGTAAATCAAAATTCGTACAAACAATAACGAATCGGTTCAAAGAGTGTTATAGGCTGTATCAAGGGCTATAATTTTTGTATTTACGGGTTTCGTCTAGCAAATCAAAATGAAAATCACTATTTCTTGCCCTCAATCTAGACGCGATGACTTCATTTAATATTACCACATATTGCATGGTTTCAGAAGAAAAGTAGTTTTTTGAAAACCATTTACTCTATTGGAAAAATTCGGATAACAGGAAACTAAGGAGATTCAGGGCTATATCCTCTCTTTCGAACATTGTTGGAATTATATACAGGGTACGTCGTTTGTGGGCAAAAAATTCTAATAGATCCTAGAAATTTCCACTTTTGTGGGTGAATTCGATATTAACAGTATCGTCAGTCGAGAGAGAGTTTAAGGTTTCGTCTATAATACAGGGGACGCAAGATATTTGAAAAAAATATAATTTTAAATTGCAATTACCAATACAAATTTTAATATTTACCGAAGTGTGCGGTAACTTTGAAGTTCAACAAGATGTGAAGGACACTTTATACAGGGTGTATTCACAATCAAATCACGAGAATCAACTTCTTTAAATCACTCCACTTCGTCTTCATTAAAATTAAACAAAATTACTCATGACTTTGTTTTGCAGGATTATGTTAAATCGTCTGTTAAGCAGTAAACTCCATTTTCTACATTTAGGAAATGAAAATAGTGCATGCACCCGTAGTTGACTTAAAAATATTTAAGAAAAAACTTGAAAATACCGCCAAAAAGTGTTTTTTTTGGTAAATTTAAGTCTCTATTTGAATGCTGCAGTATTTTGAGACATGAACTATTATTCTCATCTTGACCAAAATAATTTCATTAACTTGGTGACCACAATACGTTTCCGATATAATTCTTATAAATAAAAATAATATAAATAAATGAAATAATTCTCATTACATACGCGCACCTTAAATCTACTGATATTCTGCGCGTAACAGATGGTTTGGTTTTAATAGATCCCAAAGATTTTTGTACAAATCCGCTCTTTTAATTACGTTCGGCCAGAAAGTGTTGAACCACTGAATGAAATCGTAAACAAAAGAGCCATTAAGTTCGAATTAGCGGGGCGATGTAATTTGGTTCATTAAAATTGATGTGAGAACCGGGGCTAAAGAAAAAAAAAAGAATAATATCATTAATCTTTGTATTAAAATAAATGGTACATGGGATTTAAACACACATAACTGTAACGATTTGTTAACGAATTAAGATTTTTTTCGCTTCTTTTTAACTGGTTCCAGACCGCTGGAGAACTCGGATGTCGTTAGACTTAGGGATTTTACTGGTCGCTTCTTTGATGCTTTACTACTCTCTTCACTGTCGCTAAAACAGAAGAAAGCATTAATTTTTCAATTTTAATTTTCAATAATAACTTTTTTGCATATGCGGCAAAGAATACATTGGAGAGACCGAACGAAATATTTCAATTAGTCTCAAAGAACATGAAAGAGAATTAAAAATAACACAAATAAACTCATCAGCAGTTGCCGAACACAATCTTACTCAGGTCAGGTCTCTACCTGTCACTAACATGGGAATCAGTTATCCGAGGCGGTGGTTATGCCCCTCATTTAGCTCCGCCCCCCTCAAACAATATAAAAGTAGGTACAGAGTAAAATGCGAGCCAGTTTCTAATCTAATCTAATCTAACACGGCAATGTCCTAAAGATGACTCATGTACAATACATACAATTTTTCGATTTTACGCAAAATAAAAAGTTTATATTGTTCATAAATAAAATTTTAATTTCGTTTTCTTATCCATTTTATTTTAAATTTAAATGACCATGAACAAATATAATAAGTATATAAGATTTCAATGCTCATGTTAACGAAAGTATAATAATAAAACATTATCTCAAAAACATTCTGCTAAGATGCTTCCTTCTACGTGAAATAGTGCAAGTATTTGGATTTAATTTTAATTAAAACGAGGAATTAATTTTTATTTATTGTTTTCATCGTTTTTTGTTAATTGTTAATGGTTTATCGCATTCATTATTATCAAATTCCTTTGGGACTAATGGTAAAAAAGTATAAAGGTAATAATGCAGTGCTCCAAAAAGACAAATTGTTGTGTGTGTCTTTGCATTAACGCTTACAGAAAAGCTTTAATATGAAAAATGTTTTAAAGATATGTAAAAAATTTCATAAATGAGTCAAAAAAGGTATCCTGTATCAGGGTAAGGAAGCATTTTTGGACGGGCGTTTAATATAAGAAAATGGGATTTATTTTGGATCCCACTTTCCGCACCCTGTATAGTATTTGACGACTCAACACACGTCATCGCACATTGTGTTTCAATAATGCGTATAGAATTTTACAAATATATTGGTTGACAAATGAACTGGCACAATTTTTGAGAATATCATGAATTATAAAATTATTTTAAAAATGTATTATGAAATTATTTTTAAAATGTAGCTATAGCAAGAACCAAATAAAGAATTAGTCATAGCCGACAAAGCTACAGACTCTCTTTTTATAAAGTTTTTTTGACATATCACAAATCGCAAAAATATCTCCAAATCCAATTCTAACGAAAGATGGCACAAGGTAAGCGGAGGAATTTGGAAACATCGCAAAAGGGGGCAAATATAATTCAGAAAAAATTTCAAATGTAAAAATTTAGCTGTGCCTGAGCATATCGACAGTTCAGGCGTTATTCTTGATTGATCCTGTTGACAGGATGACGCGGAAAATATTGTCTGGCAGTTTTTCACATATTTTGTTGACACTTAATAACTTGTTTGTTAGATTTCACGTTCACGTGCATTTTATAAATAAAAACGATCTATTAGCATAACAAAAGAGTGTCTTGTACCCTATTACTCAAATATGCCTGTGACTTTAAAATATATTTCGTTCAACACATATAATTTTTTTCTATTCTATATTTTTTGATTAAAATTGTTTTTGAGATATTTTACATTAATTACTAAATTAATTACCATTAGTAAATAATTGACAGTAACAACTGAAAACAACCAAAGTAGAACAATTGGGCCTGCTTTAATTAAATTTTAACAGAAATAGCTTAAATCATCTACAAAGATCTTTGTGTATTTTGTCCTTTTTAGTCGAGATATCTAGATTACAAATACTATTAAAAAAATATTGTTATACAAAAATAACGGATAAAGTCAGCATACAAAATCTTTGTGTCTTGAAATAATTTAGTCTATACTGCAATTTGAAGTAGTTAAAAATTAAGAATAATAATAATAATAATTATTATAATATATAATATAATAGATATAATAAAAATAGCTGGAATTATTAAAATGAACAAGAAAGAAAAAAAATTAAAGTAGGGGGTTTATTAAATACAATAAGAACATAAGTGTCTATCCAGAAAATTTGGGGGCTTAATAAGGTACAGCAAGTTTAAAAAAAATATATGTGAAAACTTCTGAGATTAATAAATAAACCAGTTTTTTTGTATTTGTAAAGCCGTGCATAAACCCAGCGTGACAATTAAAATCGGCAAAACAGAAGTTCCAATATTTTCATACACAGAATTTTTTATTAACGGATTGACAATATCTTTTCGACGCTTTCTTTATAACTGCTCTGCGTAATATTCGTTATGAAGTAAATGATTAGTTGATGGACATACAGTCAAATGTCGACCAATTATATTTGTTAAAACGTCTCAAATCTCTATTTCGCAACATTAAACCTGTTTTTATTAGCTCCAATATTATTTTCATTGTTCATATATATTTTTTCTAATTTTTTCGGCGCGGAGAGGGTACCCTGCCTCCGTGCCAACGACAAGCAGTCCTGTTGCTTTATAATGCGTTAATTGAGAACACGGCCCCGATGCTTCCCATAATAGCCAACACAAAAGATTAATTACGAACGCTTACACCTGCGATTCCGATCCCATTGAAAGGGACTCGCAGATCAAAATGATACTATTTAACTGGTAGAATAGTATTCAATTCGGCGATTTTTCCCTGCCCCGATATCAATTAAGTAAAATTAAACGGAAATGAGGTTTTAATTTATTTTCTAAGAGCACCTTCGCGATCACAAGAATGCTTCGGTGACGCAGCTGTTTCGAAGTAGCACAACTATTCAAATAACTGACGATGTTTGTTGAATTGTAAATGTCGTAGGCTTATTGTAAGATCAGTTTTATTATATTGCGACTAGGATTTGAAATATGGCTATTGAAAATAAGAGATGATTTTAAAAAGGCGAAGTCTCCCTTTTTACAAAGCTTCTGGATTCCTCTTGCGTCTGTTTGACTGTTTCAGTCAAGCAAAAACCGACTCAGGAGGAATCCAGAAGCTTTGTAAAAAGTATTGGAAGTCTGTGGAAGTTTCTTTGAAAAATTTTGCGAAATTTCTCGTAAAATGTAGTCAACATTTTCCAGAAAAGAGCCGCTAAATTGGGGAGTAATATTTTTTGGTCATATTAGACATCTATTATTTTTTCTTAATGCAAGAGAGTAATAAAATATAAATTTGCAATGACAGGGATCATTAAACAGGGTGGGCAACTTAAATGTTACTTTCAGTTTTTAAGACATATACACCTAGAATCCTTCCTAAATTGGAGCGCACTAATTGTAAATGAATGATTACAATTATAGAGATGGGCAGATAATTATTCTAAGTTTAAGTAAATAAAAAATTATATGGAAGTAAGAATAATATGAAAATAAAAAAATATTATTTCAAAAAAATCTACAATTTAAAATAGAACTTCATGCCTTCATGGAGCCGCGTTTATTCACCTATATTTGTAACTCCGGCGAAGAGCTTTGAACACGTTAAGAATAATATTTTTTTATTTTTAGAAAGCACAGTTGTACTCCCCAGTCCCAACAACAAATTCAGAAACAATACCCATTTGCAGGAACGAACTTTACCAACAAAAAGTTACTATATTTCTAATTTTAAACACAAAGTAAGACCTGTGCGTCTACTTGCCACTCTCGATGCCCTTGACAATCGTTATAGATACAATACTACGCCTATGGAATACGGCTAAGACCTCTAAGTTTTACAGTTTAATAATGATTTATAACTCTCTCGCGTTACGAAACAGAGCATAGGAATACTAATAAGACCGATTTTTATATTCAAATATAGAGATAGAGAATATAGAGAATCTATACAGAGAAAAATAAGTCATTAATAGAAATGGATATCGCCGGAAGCTAACATTCGCAAAATTATGAATAAAAATAACTTCCCTCTTCATCCTCATGTGACAATAACGACGATAGAAATACTAAAAGGATGTCGAACTTCCATTGTCTTTATTTTTAACTTACACAACGTTTCGGACAGTTGTATCACTACCCGTTATCAAGTGTAAATAACCACGATAATATAATACTACAAATCACTGCCACGAGGTACTGTTTAATATTATTCGATACTTTAAATTTATTCACACGTCCTAAAGTTTAGTTTATTAACAAATTCACTAAAAATTTTAATCTCGATTCTTCAGAAATAGGTGAAATAAACGTTTTGAACGGTATAAATAAATTTAATTTAAATAAATAAATTTTTGTCTTTTACCCTTTTCCGTATTAGGCACTTATAATATGCCATAAATAAAAGATGGCATGGTAGATGGCGCTCTATCGATTTTAATAAGCTATCTGCAATGATGCAACATTGCCGTTTCTTGGACGTTTTTTTTTTAATAAAAAAGTCTGTTTTGCGCTATAGCTCACGGATGACAACAGAAATCTTTAAAAAATGAATTATTTTTGACAGTCGACACTTTAGGCAAATATTCTTAAATAATCCGATTCAAAACCATCTAACTACTTTTCACCATAAGGAATTGCTTCTAAACTTTTTGGTTAACAAACATATGGAAATAAAAATGAAAAGGAAGAAAATGAATTAATTTTCCAGAAACTGCTGAAAATTGATGTAGAAAAGTATACAAAGTTATTCAAACACAAAGGGATAGCTAGCTAGTTCTAGAATGTGTTGACATAAGAATAGAGTGTAGACCGTGGGATAAAACTTATTTATTCGGGCATCATAAAAGTTATTTATCCAGGCACCAAGCATTGCTCGTATATTTCTCTTTCCGGTTTGGAAAAATGTCACCTATCCGCCTAGATTTACAAATATTATTTTGCTATTTCCTTCACCTGTAATGGGCGCGGGTAACGCTTTGCGATGCAGCGATGCGATAGGTTTCTTGCCGGCCACTTGAACAATCTTTCTCGCGACGTGATATATTATACACAGAACTCGATTAATACGAGAATGGCGCGTTTCCAGCATTAACGTTAAATGAATCCAACCATCATTTACTGAATTATTTAGTGAGTAATTAAATGGAGGCGAAGCGCGCCTTTTTACCGAAAACACCTAACGCTATCAATCATCTCGTCTCATTAATAAGTTATACGCCTCGGACAGGGCAATATCAAAAGGGCCGCCGGAGAACGGTTGTTCGGAGGAAGTCTGCCGCGCTGCTGTGTCGGCTTGTGGGAAAACGGTAGAAGGGCGCAGCCGCTATTTTAATGCCACCGTCCGCTACCGTTTTCCCAATTGGAAAACTTTACATTTATTCGGGTCAGAATTATTTTCCTACTTTATAGGCCAACCGAATGAGAGTCTAATCGAGGTGACTTTTATTGAAACTGCCACCTGCTATCAAACTCGACAGCAGGTTAGAGGACAATGATATGAATGAATTGATAGTCAATGTTTAATTTTGAAAGTTGGGCAACTATTTTTTTATTAACGATTGAGGCGTGAAAAAACAGTTTTATAAAAAAACATGTGCGTCTTGAAAATACCTACAAGTTGAACTGTAGTTTCAGTGGATCGGGAAACAAACCAAAAACAATAGCTGAAAAAAAGCATCTTGGGCCATAAAAGAAGTTCTAAAAACGTTAAGTAAAAATATTCAAAATTTTTCGCAAGTTAATTACTTTTATTTATTTATTTTTTAATTGTTTACATGAAACGATAGGCGTGTGCGCAAATTAAAGTTCAAGGCTTGTTCTGGTAATTTCAAAAAGGAAAATTAAGAAATATGGATTTTAATTTATTCAAACCATTTATGAAAGTTCCACTCCGAATGTGGATATTGCCGGGACGAGTACAAAAATATTTTTCGCCAGACATTTTCTCGAAAATTTTAAAATTTAGAGCAGTCTCCGCACAATAAGCGAAGCATAGCTCGACAGACAAGTCTACAAGGCTTTTTTTGAAAAAAAAAACCTCTGAGTTTACATTTACGGAATCAAGGTTTTTTTTTAATATCAGCTATTATAACCACCAGTTATCGGCATTTCGAACGCATTTTCCGATGAGTTATTCTTTTTGTTTATAAAAAAATGAGCCCTAATTTTGAAAAATGATTCAAAAATTTTTAAACCTATGTTTCGTAATTTTCTTTTGTAATAATAGTAAAATAAGCCATGAACTTTGATTTGCACACACACCCATCAACGAAGAACGTTTCAAATAAAGAATACAAAAAAAACTAAAATGTTATTGACAACTTCTGCGAAAAATATTGAATATTTTTACTCGATATTTTAGTGCTTTTTTTATATCCCAAAACGCTTCCTTTACTGGAGTGTGAAACTAGTTTAATATGTTCTGCAATGTAGCAATTAAAAACACCAAATCCCACCTCATAAGCAAATGAAAACATCCCGCGAATTCAACAAGAAACGTTCAGAAGCAAAAATTGAATAAAATTAAAAACACACATCAAAACTATAATTATATGTAGAAGCTGTAGCAGTAATTGCAAACAAAAGCCTTTAGAAACAGATCGATGTTTCATAAGAAGCCAAAGAAGAATGGATAATAAAATTTAGATAAATAAGTCTGAAATAAGGAAAGCTGTAGAAAGAGTCCTGGCTCCAACGACCTCAGCTAAACGCTTTATCATTGTTTATTGAAAAGTTGGAAGATAACAAGAGTCCTTAGATGAGAGATAGATGCAGATAATGTAATATATCTAATATAATTAATTATCAAGAAACCAAAAACAAAATTAAACCATACTTGTGATTTTTCCAAAGAACTTCGCGAGAACGAGAAGTGAGAAAAAATATGCGGTTCCCAGAACAGTACTGCTAAAACTACAACAAATTATTTTTGACTACTAATGCCAGTTTTGGAACCATCCTAATACGAATCCGAATTGTGGAACAAGGACATTTTAAGAAACGCACTTACCCATGGTTAGCCAATTTTTTATTAAGCCTCTTGGGCTCTACGGCAGTAATTGCTTTCTTTACACGTTTGGCGATCATCGTCGGCGTCTCCTGCAACGCGAAACTAGTGCAATAATGCCCCAAATTCAAATTCTTGAAGTTGAACACAGTCTTCATGTTTGCTGGATATGTACTGTAGAATCTAGACCAAGATGAGTAGGCTGAAATCAAAATCGAATCAGTTGTCTCCTATTCATGTCGAAGTTGGATTCTCACGATAGGATCTCCGAAAGAATAAAAGATACAGGACGAAACAAAATGAGTAAGATTGATGCTGATTTTTCTATGGATGTTTGTGGTTTTGAATTTATTTGCTTTTAGCTAATATGTTGCAAGTTACAAAAAACCCAAAATATTGAATATTTTGTTTACCAATTACAATAATGATTCTAAATTATTATTATACACTGTATTTTTTTCTCTTGTTCAAGTTAAAATTCTATCTTTATTCATATTTAATACCATAATTTATACGATACAATGTTAACGCTAACCAAAACAGGTCAGGAAAAACTTTTTGAAACCACAAAAGGGCACATTTTAGCAAAAAAATATTTACTTAGAATGCATTTTTACTAACATTGCAATATTTCAGTTTAACACCTACATTATTTGTATTGTATTTTTTTCCTATTTGTATAATAACAATGTTTGTTCATAATTATCATTTATCATATTATATTTACTTGTTTTTAATTGTTGTTCATTTTTACTGAAACGATAATTATTCTAAAGAGGCGCAAATTTTACACTACCCTAGTTAAATATTTGTAATAGTCTATCTACCTATCTACATGAACCTACTTTCGGCAATGCTTTCTGTTTTAAAGTTAATGTGCTACCCGGTAGAAATAATTTTCACATTAAAGAAATCATTTATCCGCGTTGGTCAACGATTATCGATCTGACCCGTTCCCACTTCTGAAACAGAAGCTGAATAAAGTGCCCTTTTATGTATCGCCTCGACAACATTAATCCTTCAACGCCGAAATGATTGATATTAAAAACGACATACAAAGAACTGGACGTTGTGGTGGCTTACCACACTTTGAAAAGTCTTACCAAGACATCCTTTTCGATGCAGCTGTTTATCGGACGACAATGCCAATTCGAATCGCTTTTGCAAAGCTAAAATTGCCTTGTCCTCTTCGGGTTCCATCATTAAGCCACTGAGATCTTTAAGAAAATCTTTTTTTGCCTCCTGCAAACTACAAGCAACCCGATTTTGTTTCAAATTCATATGGCAATGGCTAACTTACAATACTCTGTGCTCACGAAGACGATTAATATATTCTTGTTCTTCGTGAGTTAAAAAGATTAAAGCCGATCCTGATTTGCCCACCCTTCCGGTTCTACCCACTCTATGGATATAATCGTCGTTAGAAACGGGGGCTGTGTATTGTATTATACAATCTGCTTCTGGCACATCAAGTCCACGAGCTGCTACGTCCTGGATGTTATGCATATACTATCAGATATCGACATACCCTCTCTCCATCAATTTTTTTAACATAATAAATATTTAATTAATAATAAACTTGTGACTCGCTATTAAAAGATCTGGAGCAATAAAAAGGAGGTTTTACCCAGTTTTCGAAATATTTTGGCAAATGCAGCCTTATCCGCAAGCAATGGCAACTTTCGAATGTACATACCCTACAACCAAAATTTCTCTCACACAAAATCTATAATAGCACTATCACTATGTGCACAAAGTTTCGTATTTTCACCCGTAAGTGAGGACGTAAAATCAAATGGAGAAATTTATGTTTTACCAATTATTTATGTAATGATGTCGTTTTTGAGTTTTCTCCGATTACAAGTTTTGAATATTTTGAAGTTTATGCTTAAAAATTTCTCGTATTGTTAGCTTAATATTTTGCCAATGAAAGGGATATTGGAGAATTTTTTTAACTTAAATTCTATACGAGAGTGAGTGTTTCCAACTTTCTGATTGTTTGGTTGATGTATTGGTCATTTTAGATAAATAATAGCTTGTTCCCAATAAACAAATTGAGTAATGTCACTAAGAGGAAGCCTCTGAAAACGTTAACAACATTAATAACAGTACTCGAAATTGATTGAATTGTTAAGACTGGAATCAGAAATGTGTTTAACAATTGCACCTACAGGATGCGCCAAATTCGAAATGTTTATGTTTTGACAAGGTAAAATATGTGGAGTAATTTTTGAAAGTTTTTTTGAAAAATTCAATACAAGATGATCGATGTGCTACAGAAACACGTCATAAGCATTTGTGGCTATTCACAATTTACATGGAAGCTTGGCAACTATTGCTTTGAGAAGAAAAAAATTCAAAAGGTAAAGGGGAAAAAATGTAGAGGAGAATAGCAATAGTAAATAGAATTTATAGCCTATTCGGTATCATTTTAACAAAAATAATTATGAAGATGATGACTACAAATTTTGATGAGTCGAGGACCAGTTATCAGTTTTTTTTTAGTAGTAATTATTAATCATTATATATTATATACTTTGACATTATTGTCACATTTATTTTGGAGTAATTTTATAATTATGTTAAAAAAGCGTAAGCTTCAGCCCATCTTAATAGTACCATTCTATAAGAAACTTTTATATTGACGTTTTATTTACATCTTTTTCCTTTTTTCCATTTATATTAGTGGGAATCTCGATGATCAACCGCATAGATTGTTAATAATGGATCAATAGTGTATAGCAGATCTAAACCTCACTGTAAATCTAAATTAGAAAAAAAAATTATAAGGTAGTTAGGAATGTAGATAAAGCGAATGAAAATGGCTGACAACAATAATTCCATCCACGTTGTATTTAGGCTAACTTAATCATGATTTCGCGTAGACACAGGGTGGATGTTCAATGGCATCAAAACTGAATCGGGTGAATTTATTAAATTATAAATCTTGGCGCTTAAAATTAATATAGATCTTTTTGCAGTGTCAGTAGACGAAATCGGGGAGTCCGTTTATCTAGCATTTGAACTTATTTAAGCACAATAAGCATTGTAAGATTCAATTATTAACTTATTTCAATTTCAATAACATGAATGTGTAAATTTCAACGAAACAATTTTGTATCCACTTCTCAATAAAGAAACTTAATGTTTGTCTACAGAGAATAACAGTTAGTATTTGTTTCGAAAAGCTTAGGATTTTGTTAAAATTACCATTTTATAATGGTGCCATTAAAACACCTGCACAAGGCCATTGTCCCTATAAAGGTAAAAAAATCTTTTCGCGCCCTCCCAAAAAAAGCATTATTCTGTCGACGGGTGGGTGCTACTTAAATAGCAGCGCATGTGTTGATGATTATTATTACAGGTAGCTAATAAGTTCTTATTCAAAAATGACGATGTCCCACCGTGAAGACAATTTGTGGAGATCCGCCGCGGTTTCTTTGGACCAACAGGCGTGCAACGAAAGGGACACTCGAGGAAGCAATTTCCCGATGCTTTCGTGTTATTATTAATGACCCGACTATCATTTAAAACGCTTTTTATTGAACTATCCCTATGTGTTTAAAAACATATGCGGAACAAATTTAGATATGGTATCAATTCAATGTATTTAATGCGACCATTGAAGAAACAAAAATTTAATAGAAAATTACGCAAGTTTAAAACCGCATTTTATGAAATAAATATAATAAAGAGGTTTCTTTTGGTATGACTTTGGGGCAGCGCAACGATTACAAACGAAGGAGTGTCTGAAACTTGTTTTTTATTTATAAAACGTGTTCCTAGGTTTGCATCTTTGCAAAACACCATGAATACATTTACTAAAATTATGTTTTTTTCACTCCCCAATCGAATATACCCAATTATTCTCGGATCAACTGTGCGAAAAGTATAATTTTAAGATAACAGCTTCACGTACTTTAGTCATAAGTTTGAGAGCGATCGGTTGTTTTCAGTAGATTTTGGCCATGATGTTTTGATTTTTATCAATTCTCATCGTCACGTCACATGTCATTTATTTAGTGGATGTGTTCATGTTCTTTTCGACAAATGATCGCAGAAAAAGTAAAGTACACCTCTTGAGTATCTTTAAAAGGGCAATTATCAAACTTGTTGCCTACTATACTATTATTTACGGTTATCCACAATATAGGGCACGAAATATTGTAGCTTTCAAAAATTTAGACGTTTGGGATATGTGGAGGATCTATTAAGGTTGCTTTTTTAATTTACGTTCATATCGTATAGGTCACACTGTTTTTGAATCTGAAAGTGAATGTCTGCTTGATTTTGTCAAAATGTAACATAATTTTAATGTTTAATTAAGAAGTATAAGCGAAAATATTTTATATTCTAGTATATGTATATGTATGCGTGTAATAAGTATACAGAGTGTCTAAACATTCAACCTTTTACTTATAACATATACAACTTTGTTGAAAGCGAACAGATGTTTTTCGATATTGCTGTGACAAAAATGCCGCAATACTGTGAAGTTTGCAACTTGGTAGTTTGAGTTCCAAGTGTCATTCGTATGTAAATAAATCAAAGACGTGTTATATAGGCGAATGCACTTTTTGTCTTGTTTTACATATTTGTGATTGGTATTATGTAATGTGTGAAACGTGTTTTTAAGTATTTTAGACCGCTACATTTTTTAGTTCCTTACTTTTTTTTAAGGATATCAGAGTCCAAATGTCATGAAAAGTAGTTGGTGAAAAGCAACTGTGCATTAACGACCGCATGATGACGATGGCAAGGTATAAAAACCACCTTATAAAATTTAAATATAGTAAAAATTATCCAAAGAATACCAAAAAACCTGAACTGGAACAACTATTCAAAATAAGTGTTTTAACCGAATCCAAAAATTAAATTACACTTACCGTACAGATTAAAACGCCTTTCTCTGCTTTCCTAAATCCGTTAAACACTTCTTTTCTCTGATTCTGATCCATATTACCGTGAAGTTTAAATAATTGAAGCTCCAAACCTTCATTTTCGTCGTCCTCTTCCCATTCAAAATCATCTAATAGCACTACTTCTCCAAACTTGAGCTTTCCTCCACGTTTTGGCATATTGATTAAGCATTTTGTAAATAGCTCATAATGAAAGTCGACCATTTGAGTTGTTGCCATAAACACAAAAGTTTTCCCCACATTCTTAGTTTTGGATACGATTAGAGCTCCTAACATTACTAAACGATGCTTCACAAAAGTAATTAAAAATTCTTGCCTAACTGTTTCTGGTATTACTAAATTTTCGCGACCCACCGCTGATTGTTCCAGTGTTTCAATATATTCGTGCTCTTTCATAAGAAAATTGGTCAACTCCAGTATCCCTTTTGATAAAGTAGCAGACAACAAGATCGTCTGAATATTATTAGTCGTGGTATCAGTTTCAGTCACTGGTGTTTCAATATTACGATTTTGTCCTTTTAAAAGAGCCAGTGGATTATATGACTTGCTTATTTTGTGATTTTTGATTTCTTCTACCAATCTATTGTATGAGAAGAGAAAAATGCGCAACAATATTGTAATGAACAAAATACATTAAACTATTATAAAACAACATTGATTATACAGTATTTTTAAGCTAGATTTGTCGGAAACGTTAAGGCAACAGGGTTATTTACCTAAGAAAAGGATTGCGCATTTTAAAAGTAAAAAAATAGATCTCGAGATAATCCAGGTAAACAATATAAAAACTGGAAAATCATGCTTTCTGCTATATGTGTATTTTTTGTGATACAATATTTATTCTCTGTCTTGAACACAGAATTCTACATTAAACAGACTTAAACACCCTGTATATTTCTAGTGTAATTTAGCTCTTTTTTGAAACACTTAGAGTTTAAAGTTAATTAGCAGAACAGGGTTGAATTAAAATAGAAGGAACAAAAATAACAAAAAATCAAAAAAATTCTAGTTGGGGAATTAAATCTCCAAATACAATTTTTTGTCTTTAGTTTAACTGTCTTCATAGCCAAATACCTTTTACCTACTGCTTTCTTATTTTATCTTTTTTTTTTATAAAGAAAGACATATCATAATCAGTAATAAAACGAAACCATGAAAAAAAATGGATCTTTTGCCGCCATTTTGCAAATACTTTCAATAATAAACTGTTTAGTTATGCCCCCATTTTCCAGCTAACTTACATTTACTGTTACTGTTCTCAGATACACTTACACACACTTATATTGGATCTGACATTTTTAAGAACACTAAATTTATATATTCTTCTTACCTTGATATATCTTGTTTAAATCCCATATCTAGTAATCTGTCAGCTTCATCCAGAACTAAGCATTGCACATTTTTTGCATCAAAGGCCGCAGTATGAAGTACATGATCCAGTAATCTACCTGGGGTACCAATCAAAATATGAACACCTTTGCGTAATCTGTCTTTTTCAGTTTTACGATTTTCACCACCACAAAGGTGGCCTACGACTATCCACTGGAATGTCTAAAAAATAATACATTGTCTATTATTCAACAAAATTATAACTTATTTAAAAACTAACATTTAATTTATTAAATACTTCATGTATTTGGAGAGCAAGTTCCCTACTTGGAACAACAATAATAGATTGTAATCCATCACTACGTTTTATTTTGGGGGTAAGTTTTATCAGGTAATCCAACACTGGTATAGCATAGACGAGGGTCTTTCCTGAACCTGTTTGTGATTTGATCTGAAATAGGTAAGTCCATTCACATGATAAACATGAAGAAAAGTAAATCAAACCCTACCAATGCATTTTTGCCTCTTAGTACCACTGGTATCGCTTTCTCTTGAATGCTCGTTAAAATCTTAAAACTGTGTTTCTCTAAGTTTGAAGCTAGATGTCTATGAATGTCCAACTTACTAAATGTCATTCCAACACTGAATACATTTTCAATTAGTGCTCTTCCTGTTACATTTGTATTGACATGAATGCTTTTGTGCTTTTCCGAAAATAGTGAGTGAAGTTTGTTTTGGTTGGTTGTCTCTTCCAACTCATTACCTTCCTCAGTGCTTTTAAGGATTTTATCTTTTTTTCCTTTTCTTTTAATAAGCTTTTGCTCATAATTTGGTCTATCAAAAACAATCTCAGTTCTTTTTGTACCAATTTTCACTGATTTCCTTTTTTCCATGTTTGAACTTATTGGCCGATTGAGAGATTGTGGAACATTTGACAACACTTTATCAGAAGCCTTAAAATTTTGCTTATTTTTTAAACTCCTCTGTCCATCTTGCGTTTTTCTTTTTCTTGCAAACACTTTGTGGGTCGCTGGTTTATCTTGTTTATCCCATGAAAATTTAAACGTAGTCATTGCGGTAACTTGATGTTTCCATGGATTCCCCTGTTACGTTTGAAAAGGATATTTTTAACTTAAACACGTTTTTAAATTATTGTAAACAAAAATTAAGGTTAGTACCATGGAGAAAGTATTTTTCAATTTGGTAAGCCAATTGCGAAGAATCATTCCATTTTATTACAGCTTGAAAAAATGTATCCGCTGTTAATCTACTTGCCGGGAGATGGCGGAATATACTTTAAAGGTTTTAGAAAATTTCCTTTCAAAAACGTTTCCTTTTTATACTTCTTAAAAATACACCAACGATTAGAGTAGTGTACGTATCAATTAATTACAAATGTTAATTTGTATCGATAATCATGTTAGTTATTGCGGTTTACTGAGAATGTTTGGTTACTTTGACTAAATATTAGATACCGGTATTATTGGGTACTCCTGAATAAAAAAAGTGGAATAGTTTTGGTTAAGCTCTGAAGAAGCCAACAGGAAGATTTACGAAAAGTCAGCAACTTGGATTCGTCAACAACCGCTGCATGGGAAATGCAAAAAATTAAAATTTGTAAATGAAACCTAAACCCATTTAAATAGATATAAAAATATAACGTTGATCCAACACTGACATAGGTATAGTAAAATAGGGAGGGAAATTGGGATATAGGTAGTAAAATTTTATATCTTATTTAAATTTCAATTTTTATATAGACAAGAAAAAATACTGTCGCTTCTTCTATTCTATTATTTTTTTCCTCTATTTCTTAGATTGTTTTTAAAATCATTTGACCAGTGATTTTGCTGGTACTATTAAGTTTAATTATCGGTCTAAGTAATATTCTTGTTTCAATTTGTATACTGCGTGTATACTCCGTGTTGTGTTCAAAGGAATAAATAAGTAAAAACGGGTGTTGGTTGTTGATCGAGTTTGTACAATGTAATTTGTGTTTTCAAACAGGTCGTTTTAAATAATTGTCGCGTTTTCAAGAAAAATTTAAATTACATTAAAATCAGCAGCGATTTGATTATTTATTTAGACCTAAAACGTAGAGAAGCGTGTGCGGGCGTATAAAACATCGATTATTCTATTTATCTTTAAGCTTCTGAATAGGATTGTGGGAATTAGTGACACATTAGCAGTCCATTAGGACCCATACTGTGTCCAATTGCAATATCGTTTCTTGTCGCATTAAGCGCCTCGAAAGCGTGATTGATTTCCCCGAAAATCCACCCTACTCGACCATTGTTGTGTAACCTCACGTATGTAGACCCACTGCGGAGTTAATTTCGTAAGCAAATAGAGAAATGACGTTCTCAAGAATTAAGCATTTTTAGGCAGGGGTTGTAAATTAAGCGTAAATACATTCATCGGCGTTTACAGAAAATTTGATTTTTTTTTACAGGTTGAACAAAAAAACAGTCGCCCCAATAAGATCTTAAGTAGTTTTTCTAATAGGAAAGCTGGTCATTAGAGTCAAGTGTCATTATATGACTAACAAATACATTCATCAACAGCTATTTATTTATTTATTCCCAATTTAGGTCATATACGGTACAGAGTACCAAAAAAGCATCCCTGCGTAATAAAAAGTTTTTAGCATGGAATGACAAACAATGCAAAAAGAAAGCAAACCCAAACGATAGTTAACTAACACAAAAGAGAAGATTTGGTGAGTACAGCAAATGCAGAAATAGCAAAATACAGGAAATGATTATAGAACACAATTCATAGTAAAATAATTAGGGAGTTCTCTTCAAGGTTTGCTCGATGGTAGTTATATAATAGCAAAAATGTCGCTATTTCCTGCCTTTTACCTTAGTATTCGTAGGCTAATTTTTAATAAAAGATAAGATGAGTCAAGTCGATAATCTAGAATGCCGAACAGCATTGACAGATCTGCCAGTTATCTCTCGTTGTAAAGAGTTAAAATTTTGAGTGCTCAATAATATTTTTGAATAAATATAGTTATTGAGTATAAAATAGGTAGGGTTAATATCACCGATACAATATATGAAGACTTATCCACTTATCCATAATTTACCAGTCTTGACTTCCAATAAGAACTCCTACAGTTGTTCTAACAATTGTTGATACAAAAAATTCCAAGTTTCAGAATACAGATAGCGCTTTAATTGAAACTGGAATGATTGTGTGCTGTAAATATCAGAGAACCTTATTATGTAATTTTAAATCATTTTTTCAATAAATTATTTTATCTTTTGTAACTACTGCGACCAATCTGGCAACTATGACGTCGACTGGGTGAATTGGTTAATTCAAATAAGCAAAAAATATATACACAAATATTTTAGTAATTTTAAAAACGATGTGATTTAATTTCGATTTATCATAAACCGATGCAGGAGAAATCCAGAAGATTTGTAAATAGGAGGTGTAAACCGGAAATTGTGCATATTCCATTGGGCATTGGCTCTTAATTGTTTATTATTGCCTCTTGTATTGTATTGTATATAAACATATAAGTTAACAGTAACAGTTTTAACAGTAACCGCATCTTAGAAATGAAGCGTAAACCTTCAAAGAAACTTCCACAGGCTACTGTAGTAAAATTTTATTTTGTTATTTGTAACGATTAAGAAACATCCCAAATATCACTATCTCGTAATTGTCTCTTGACTGGTGATTCCTGACTCCTAAATCTTCATCGACAGAATTGGTCCGGAAAAATTCATTGGTCAGTTTGTCAATTGTCAATTGCAGTTTAGCTCTCCCTCCAAAATTATATTTTAAAATACTAAGTAAATTGCTCAGAAAATAGTTCTTGCTTGCTTGCTTCAATAGAGTTTAGATACCCGATGGTTATGGCTTAGCTTGTCAAGTTGTTTGTCAAAATATTTCTGTGTGTAGGGAATTTTATAGGAAATGAGGCATATAGAAAAAACGGAAATAATTTTATTTTCTTTTGAAGCAAATTTTTCAATGTTTAATTGTTCATTCTATGGCCACTTAGGTATATAAAACAAAATTGTTAGGCCTTTAAATTTGCCAAAAATGTTAATGTAATTTTCGGATTTACAACAATTATAACGGAAAACTAACCAAATCTAACAAACTATAAAACTAACCTTAACAACTTGAGTCGCGAGCCACTGTTGGAACGGTTTTTTTTTCCTTTAGGGCGTCGACAAATCCGCAATTAAAACTACAAAAAGAAACATTATTCAGGGGCCATTTCGATTGGGCGAGTATAAAAAGATTTGATTAGTTTTCTATTTCCGGCGAGAAACACGCCAACAGAAATCCGCCAAAAGTTTCAGAACCGTACGAATTTTCCATTTGGACTAAATCCAATTTTTGGGAGGCCATTATTCAAATGCGGAGATTTATGGGAGACGCGCGCGGATATAAAATCACCGAAAATACGAGAAAATGGTTTGACTCGATTCTAATTTATTGCCGCAACGGTTGGGTGCCAACAAAATTGTTACAAAACTCGACGTAAACCCACAATCAGAGACCGAAGCGGAGTAGTTAGCTTTACTGTTCAACAAGGTTTATAACTTGCTACCACAGTGGCGGAACGAGCGGAGATCCATTGGGTCTGTCTGCAACATTTGTTTCGTTTCTCGATCCAGTTCATTTTTTGAGTGGTGTAGTCTTTATAAAATCTACTTTTTCTACCAATTACTGTAAAATACTTAATTATGCAATGATCCAGGGGGTGCAAAGTGTCACTTTAAGACATCAGCTTAGTAGACATTATATTATTATTATACTAACACCAAGCAGTTACGGGAAAGTCTGATATTACTTTAAGAGCAAATTACTAAGTAAATTACTTAGTGTAGCTGAGCGCAGCTTCTAATAGTCAGGTAGGTAGGAACTTTTTGCCGGTTTGTTAATAAATGTGCTTTTTTTTACCACCGGCCATAAAGGTTGATAACTCAACAGTTGCATTTAGTCAAAAAATTACAATAGCCACGACATGATATTATTATGGTTTGCAGAAGGATATATATTTTTAAGAAAAGATACACAGTCTAGGGTCATTCTACTAGAGACCAAAGCAAAGTTAAAAAATTAGAGAAGCCTCGAAGAAAATGACAAATGGAGATGAGATCGGGGAAATTATATTCGAATCTAAAAAAAAAATCTGTACCAGGCTGTGATGAAGTCACAGTCAGAGACATATTTAACTTAAAATATGGTATTTTTTCAAATGAGTTAAAAACAAGCAAAATAAGCGCAGTTTTCAAAGCAGGTAGCAAAAAGAAAATTTTTTTCCTGATAAAAAATTACATGAATTTTAGTAACCAAATCAAAATGATTTATAAATTTATTTTTCATTTAGATTAAAGCATTTGAGAGAGCAAACCTGAGAGCGAATAATGAGAATTGGAAAGTTATGCTTAGCGTTCTTAAATTATTTTGTAGTACCTATAGTTATAAAGCAATATAATTTTTGAGGCATTTATTTGTCAACTTTAGATAGATCATTCTCAAATTCTTCTCTGAAGTGCTGCATATCCTATCAAATAAAAATAATATAAAATTTATTGTTGGTAACGTTTCCGAGTGCTTTAAAATTTGTAATAACCTTTACCTAATAGTCACAAAGAGTCCAGTGCAAAGAGTGGAAAGCCATCTGGAAAAATTTTTGAAGTTTCATTTGTGACAGTACGCAACTGTAACTTAACATAGTCAGGCTATTTAAGGTAAATAATGTTTACCAATGAAAAACTCATCCGTCATCCTATATTACACATTACTAAGAAGTTGAAGAAGAAGAACAATATATTGCATTTCCTACAGTGATAATTTTAATTTCTTATCTCTTTTCCTTTTCTCTTTCCTTTATTATTTTTTCTTTGACCTCTGATCGCTCTTGAACGCTATCATAATGTTATAATTTTGGTCTTTAATAAAAATAAATCAGTAAACATTAACTTTTTCTTTTTCTAATCAAAACTAACCGAAACTTATTACCTTGTGTCACCTTCTGTTGTTGCGGTATGTGAAACGGTCGAGAATTAAACCCTTGCTTGAGGATTCAATGACCTAAGTAATTATTAGTCTGTTACTATAGACATCCTGCTTTATTTGCCTATGGCGCGTGGACGTGATAGATAGTATGCCTTGAATAACGCAAAATGGCAGGGATTTTAGCTTTCCAATTCATGACGGTGGCTTTCGGTTTAAAA